CTCCGCGGCGGCCTCCGACGGCGGCCGCTCCGCGAGCGCCGCGGCGGCGTCGTCGGCGTCGGCCGCGCCGGCGCCCGCGAGCGCCGCGGCCGCCACGACGGCGACGACGTCCGCCGCGGCGCCGCCGCCGTCCGCGCGCGCGGCCGACGCGGACCGCGCGCGCTCGGCCCCGGCCTCGAGCTCGCCGATGCGCGCCTCGAAGGCCTCGCGCTGCAGCTCGACCTCCTCCGCCGCCTCGCGCCGCAGCCGCTCGAGGCTCTCGACGACGCGCGGGTCCGCGAAGGGGTCGACGTCGTCGTCGCGTGCGCTGTCGACGTCGTCCTGCTCGAGGAAGCGGTCCTCGGCGGCGTCGAGCGTGTTTTCTAGTGTTGACAGCGCCTTTTCTTTCAGATTTCCCAGGCGCTGCTGCCACATGGCCGTCGCAGTTGGCGCTTTGTGGCCCAAACTCGCCTCGCGGCGGCGGGCAAGTCGTTGTTGCCTGATCGTTGCCTGCTCCATCGTCGGGGCAGCCCTCTTTGCGATGGCTTGCAATTGGCTGCTCTTGCACCTGTCCGTCGCCGCTGCAAGTCTGACGCGCTTCGATGTGCTTCGTGCGAAGCGGAGCGCTCCTCGGGCCGAGTTCCAAGCGCCACGGGAGGAGGTGTCGAGCTTCTTGACCTCGGTGTTGGAAAAAACGAACGGCCTCGAAGTCAGGCCCTGCGACGACTGGTCCCTCGAGGCGTTGGATGAGACACTCGACCTCTTGGACACCCTGTCCCACCCCGAGCTCGAGGCGGAGTACGTTCGGCGCGGCGACGCGCGCGGCGGCGGCCGGGCCCGGCGCGCGGCGTTGAGCGCGCTCCGGGGCTACGAATCGCACGTCCGAAGCGCCAAATGCGCCGAGGCGGCCCAGCGCTACGCGCATCACCTCTCGAGCGAGGCGCGCGCCGAGTTCGCGGCACCAAACCTTGGGCAGCTGTTTCCAGCCGGACCGTTGCGAACGAATCGTGTTCGGACGGTCGTTTCGTGCTTCCGACGCATGGCAGAAATCCCGATTTTCGTCGAAAATCGCCGCTTCGACGATCGTTCTGTGCTGCCGACGCATAGGTTTGGTTCTCCTGCGAAAATGGCTCCGTTTCACGGACCTTTATTTTTCACAGTTCCCCACGTCGAACTAGACACGGCCCGTCGAACTAGACTTGGCGGCCCCCGTTTTGGAAATTCAGCGCCTCGAATTCGATGAACATGCGAAATTTGAAGCTCATTCCATGGCAGCTATGTATAAAACTAAGGGATTCCGCGCCTCCGCGGCGAAATCCACGGCGATGCAACGCGCGTTATTCGCGCTCGAAGTCTCGGGAAACGCGTCGAGCGTTTCTACGGTGCCGCATTTACGTACCCCGAAATCGACGAGTGCGGGCCTCCCGACCGTCGCGTTATGCTCCCGAAGCATATGACACAAAGACCCGACAAAAAAACCGGAATTTTTTTCGTCGGCCCCGAGACGCCCTCCCCACGCCTAGCACTCCCTAGTGCTACGCGCTAGTGATCCACGCGCCAGGACTACGGGACTACGGGAGGGGAAATCCGTGATAGCGGTCGGGCCGCGCGACCGTCGTTGCCCGTGTGGTGCGGCGCCGCTGCCCAATGACCCTGGACAAAGCGGCGGCTGGAACGAGACGGGCTGTGTTGAAGTTCAAGTTGAACCTGCGATCTAAGTTGAACTTCAAGTTGAAGTCACGCATGGCGTCCGGAAGCACGTCTTTGCGCCGGACTCGCGAGAGATTCACAACAATCCAAACACGATGCGTTCACAACACTCCGGCTGGAAACAGCAACCCAATGATCAAGAGTTCGCGGCGACGTCCGCGCTGCCGAGCCTGAACGAGCGGCCGGGCCTTTCGTCGTCCCCGGCCGTCGACGCGGCCGTAAAGAACGCTTATACGTGCCAGACGTTCCACAGCTTCGACGCCACCAAGGTCACGGACGACGACAACGACCACGACTGGCCCCATTGGCCCACGGAGGCGACCTACGAGGGCACGGGCTACGGACCGTTCCCGTTCTGGGGCGGCGCGGGCGACCTCTCGCTGGACTCCGGCGCGAACCTCTCGGTCGCGTATTCCGCCGTCCACAACGCCGAGCGCATTCTCCACTCCTCCTGCGACCTGAGCAACCACGGCGGCCCCGCGGATAAGGTCGAAACGCCCACCTCTGGAAGCAGTTCGACTTGGACGGCAGGACCTACCACATGGCCTGGCTCTACACGACCGAGGGCTTCTCCGCGGACGCGGACGGCGCCTTCTGCTGCATCTCGTCGAACGAGCGCGCGCAGATGCCGTTGACGGCACCGCCCCGGGATTTCATGGATCTGCTCGACGACTCGGGCACGGTAGACACTACACGAACGCCTATTTTCCCGACGGCATCACGGTCCGGAATTACACGACGGCGATAAACTTCGCGGGGACGACGTACTTCTGGTACCTCACGGACACCGCGGGCCACCCCGTCGAGCAGGGCGAGGGCTGCGTGCAAAGCCCGCGGCGCGAGTGCCACCCGGAGGACCAGGAGGCCTTGTACGTGTATCACACCTATGACACGACCTCCTTCAAGCAGACCACCTTCGACTACAACACGACCTTCGCCCTCCCGGACGTCTGCCGCGGCATCAAGGTCGAGTGCCTCATGCCCTAATCGAGTCGCGAGCTTACTAGAGGAGTCCGGAAACCCCGGGCGTGGTGCGGCCGCGGGCGCCGCGCTCCGCGTCGAGCGGGCGGCCGCGGGCGCGAGCGAGAAGAGATGGGGCGCCCTAGGCCAGCCCCGGGACCTTGAGCGCGGCGCCGAGCGCGGAGAGCGTGAGCAGGCTGCCGCAGATGGCGAGCCCCGCGGCGGCGTTGAAGCCGTTGAGGCGCGTCGCGTGCGGCGCGGGCCCCGGCGCGACGCGCTGGCCCCGGATGGCCAGGATCCCCGGCAGCACGGCGCACATGGCGAGGCCGAAGCAGCCCGTCACGCCCGTGATCGCGGAGATGTCGTCGACGAGCGCCGCGCCGACGAGCGGCGGCACGCCCGCGACCAGCCGGAAGAACCGCGTCTGCGACGCCGACGGCGGCAGGTCCGACGGCCGGTCCTCCCACGCGCCGCACTTCTCGCGGTACGTGGCCATGAGCGCGTCGCCGAAGGTGATGGCGTTGAGCGGGTAGGTCGCGACGACGTTGATGGCCGGGTAGAGCACGACGAACTGGCCGAGGACCGACGCCGCGCGCCGTTTGAGCGCGTCGTTCGGATCGAGCGGGTTCGGCACGTGGTGGTACGTCGCCCAGTCCAGGTTCGACGCCGACTCCGTGCCGGCGCCGAACAAGGTCGCCACGGGCGCGGCGAAGAGCACGTAGATGAGAGCGGCGCCGAGGAAGGCGTAGCGGAACATGGCGTTGAGGACGAGAGGCGTGTCGGCGCGCACGGGCGCGCAGATCTGCGGCACGGAGTGGTGCAACGTCACGGAAAACGCGACGATGGGCGCCAACGGCGCGACGCCCGCGAACGCCGTGGCGCGCTCCGGCATGGGCTCCACGGGGCCCTGAGAAACTAAACACGCGATGGACGTCGCGACCATGGCGACGAGCATGACCTGGCGGCCGACGGCGAGCGCGGCCTGCGTCGTCTTCTGGTCCGACAGGTCCTTCAAGCTCAGGGGCACGACGAGGCACGCGAACACGGCCACGTAGGCGACGTAGGACCGGGGCCCGAACGGCTCGCCGACGTTCGTCTTGAGGCTCTGTCCGAAGATCGCCGCGTAGCACCACATGCTGCCGACCATGAACGACGACAGCATAAAAACATAAGCGTTGTTGCCCGCGGAACCGAGGAAGAGGCGGCACAGGTCCGGCAGCTGCGCCGGCCGCGGCGCCGCCAGCTGCGCGTCCGTCGCGGCCTCGGCGTCGCCCGCGTTGATGCGGTAGAAGCTGCCGCCGCGCGCCGGGTGGCCGCGCGCGGCGACGATCCACGCCGCGCGGTCCATGGCGTCGAGGATGCACTCGGCCGAGACGCAGGCGCCGAGCGCCATGACGAACGTCATGGCCACGCCGATGGCGACGCTGGCGTCGGCGTAGGCTTTGGGGAGCGTCAGGTAGCCGCTGCCCATCATGTAGTTCATGGCGAAGACGACGCCAAAGGCCGGGTGGATGCCCGTCTTGGCCTCCTGCGGCGCGCCCATTGCAACTGTCGCTGCTGCTCGAGTGCGAGGTGCTGCGATCCAGCGACAAGGCGATGCGATGCGACGCGGTGCTGCCACAGATGGAATCGTCGCCAAGCAAAACCTTGTCGTCAGCATTAGCTCGACCGCATTCGCTTCGCTTTCTCGAGCCGGGCAGCCCCGCGCGCCGTCTCCGCTTGCCGCATATATGCGCAGCGCCGCGCTCCTGGGCCTCGCGTGCTGCTACCTGCTCTGGAGCGAGGCCGCGGGCCCGAAGCTCCTCGCCATCTGGCTCCTGTCGCTGTCCGTCGCGGCGCTCGTCGATTGGGCCTTCATGGGGGGCTGCAGCTCGTCGGCGGCCAAGGACGCCGCGCCGCCGGCGCGGGCGCCGCCGGCGCCCGCGCCGGCGACGCCGCCGCGGTCGCCGCCGCGGGCCGCGCCCGAGGACGCCGAGGTCGCGTGCCTGTCCCCGAGCCTCGCGCGGCCGCCGAGCCCGCCGACGCTGTCGCCCGGCGTCGGCGCGGCGCGGCCGTCGCGCGAGGGGTCGCCCTTCGAGGGCGACAAGGACGCGGCGCGCACGGAGTTCCAGGCGCCCGCGCTCTGCTTCGGCGAGGGGTCGCCCGCCCGGCCGCGCGCGCACTCGGGCGACGACGCCGCCGCCCGGGCCGGCAAGGCGAGGAAGTCGTCCATCTCCCAGCCGGACAAGGACGAGGCCGCGAAGAACGTGCACGCCCTCCTGGCGGCGCTGGGCGGCCTGCCCGAGGCGCCGCCGGCGCCCGCGCCCGCGCGGAGCCCGTCGAAGGACGCGCGCGACGCGCCCGCGCTCCTCGGCCGCGGCGGCCGCGACGGCGGCGACGCCGCCGCGCCGCCGCCGGACGCGGCGACGGCGGGCCTCGTGAGCGGCGCGCTCGACGGCGAGGACGGCGCCGCCGCGGCCCAGATGCTCGCGACCCACTCCACGGGCATCGCCGACGGCCTGCGGCTGCTCTATAAATGCTGAACGTTAGGCGGCCGGCCCCGGGGGGCCGGCGCCGGCGCGTCGGCGAGCGCAGCGAGGGCGAGACGGCGAGCTAGAGCCACGACGCGGAGAACATGCCGCCGAAGAACGAGCCCTTGGCCTTGTCCTTCTTGTCCGGCTGCTTCTCCTTGTGGAGCGCGTGGGCCTTCGCCTTGTGCTGCGCGGGCTTGGCGTGGTGCTCCGGGGCCTCGGCCTTGGGCGGCGCGACGCGGTCGTCGGCGACGCGCGACGCCGGCGGCCGCGGCGCCGCGGGCGGCCGCGGCGCGCCGTTCGGGCGCGGCGCCCGCGCCGCGGAAGCCGCGCCGCGGTCGCTCTGGTCCTCGGAGCTCACGATGAGGTCGATGGTCTTGGCCGTGCCGCCGTCGAGCTTGTTGAGCGCGTGCTTGAGGTTCGCCTGCGCGGACGTGAAGTCGGGCCGGAGCTTGATGGCCTCCTCGTAGGCGGCGATGGCCGCGCCGTAGTCGCCCTTGGACTGGAGCGCGTAGCCCATGTTGTTGTAGGCGTCCGCGTACGCGGGGCGGTGCTTGACGGCCGTGCGGTACGCGGCGATGGCCTCGTCCAAACGCTGCTGCGACTGGAGCGCGACGCCGAGGTTGTAGTGGGCGATGGCGTAGGTCGGGTCCTGGCGGAGGGCGCCCTGGTAGGCGGCGATGGCCCGGCGCACCTCGCCCATGGTCTGGAGCACGATGCCCATGTTGTTGTGCGTGATCGTGTCGAGCGGGTTGTTCTTCACGGCCACCTCGTAGGCGGCCAGGGCCTCGGCGTGGTTGCCCTTGGCGTGGAGCACGTTGCCGAGGCTCGACGCGATCTGCGCGTTCGTCGGGTTGTACTTGAGGATGAACTTGTAGACCTCCGCGGCCTTGTCCAAATCGCCGCGGAGGTGGAGCGCGTCCGCTAAATTGCACTGGGCGTCCCAGTGCTCGGGCTTGTTGGCCACGGCCGTCGAGTAGGCCAAAATGGCCTCCTTGAGCTGGCCCTTGGCCTCGAGGGCGACGCCGAGGTTGTTGATCGTGTCCGCGTCGCCCGGGTTCTGCGCGATGGCGATGTGGTACTCCTTGACGGCCTCGTCGAGGCGGCCCACGGACTGGAGCGAGTCGGCCAAATTGCAGTGGGCCTCGGAGTGCTGCGAGTTGTGCTCGATGGCCTTTGCATATGCTAAAATCGCCTCGTCGACGTAGCCCTTCTCCTCGAGCGCGACGCCGAGGTTGTTGTGGGCGTCGGCGTGGCCCGGCTTGATCGTGATCGTGCGCCGGTACTCGCGGATGGCCTCCTCGACGTAGCCCCGGTTCTTGAGCGCGATGCCCAGGTTGTAGTGCGCGTCCGGGTACTCGGAGTGGTACGTGATCGCCGCGCGGTACGCGCGGATCGCCGCGTCGATCTTGCCGCTCTCCTCGAGCGTGTTGCCCCGGTTGCAGTAGTAGTGGGCCTGGTCGAGGCACCACTGCTGCTCCTGCTTGCCGCCGCCGCCGGGGCCGCCCGCGGGGCCGCCGGAGCCGTACACGGCCATGGACCGGTCGATCTTGCCCTGGAGCTTGCCCACGGCGTCGCGCCCGAAGCCCGTGGCCTGCTCGTCGAGGAAGTCGCCGCGGTGGCCCGCGCGCCAGGGCAACGACCCGAACATGGCCACGGCCTTGTCGTCCATCCACGCCTCGGGGACCCGCAATTCGCGCTGCAGGAAGCCGCCGATGGCCAGGAGGCTCTTGGAGCTCCGGAGCGTGTTGTGGTCGCCGTCGGCGACGATGATCTGCTTCGGCCCGCCGTAGGCGTCGTGGAGCGACTGGGAGTGGTGCGTGCCGATGAAGTCGTCCTTCTTCGCGCAGATAAAGAGCGCGGGCAGCGTGCACTTGGGCACCTCCGTGATGGCGCTGAGGTCGCGGATGTCGAAGCCCGCGATGGATTTCACGGAGTTGGACAGCATGGTCAGCGCCATGCGCGTCACCATCGTCGGCACGACGACGCCGCGCTCGCGGCCCTTGGCGACGAGCTCCTCCGCCAATTGGCAAAAGTCCGCGAAGGGCGAGTCGAGCACCATGGCGTTCACCGTCATGTTGTTGTCGAGGAGCCGCCGGTCCTGGGACTGGTAGAGCAGCGCCGTCACGGCGCCCATGGACCGGCCCCAGACCGCGATGTTCGACACCGTGCCCGAACCCCTCAAGTGGTCGACGACGACCCGCAGGTCGTCCTTCTCCCAGTAGCCCAGGGACACGTACTTGCCCTCGGACTTGCCGCTCCCGGCGCAGTCGAAACTGAACAGGGTCACCCCGAAGCCCAGGCACACGGAAAGCTGGTTCAAACCTTCCAACCGCGCGCTCGAGTTGCCGTGCATGAAGACGACGCAGGGCAGCGCCTCGGCGACGCGCTCCACGGGCTCCCAGTGGGAGCACTGGAGGGCCAGGCCCCGCTGGTTCACGAGCACGAGGTCCGTGCGCATGTACTGCTTGCCGCAGAACGCGAACTCGCGCGGCCCGAGCCGCTCGATGTCGTACTCCGCGCGCGGCGGCCGTATGATGGCGTTGACGAGCTCGTCGTAGCCCTGGCGCATGATGCTCCAGTAGCTCGGGCTCGCCGCGGCCTCGGGACCGCCGCCCCCGTTTCCCCCGGCCTCCTTGCTGCTCGACCCGCCCATGGTCTAGGACGCGCGCAGTCGGGTAGCGGCGCGCCGCGGGGGGCGCTTCGGGGGCCCGAACGGGCGCCGCGCACGCCCGGCCCGCGCGGCCCCCGACCGGCGACCGCGGGCCGAAGCGCCGCGGCGGGGGCGGGAGCGCGCGCGCGGGGCCCGACGGTGGCGGCGGCGGGACCACACCTCGCCTTTGTTGTCGACCGGGCTGCCCCTCAAACTTTCATAATTCACCTCAATTGCCGTGCAATATAGAAGCCTATTAAATACAGCAGCCCGGGTGTCTGCGCGGCGCGCGCCGTCGTCATGGCGGCGGCGTCGCAGGACCCGAACCTGGAGCTGACGCGGGCCGTGCGCCGGCGGCGCCGCGCCCTCAGCGATTCGACGGCGTCGGTGCTCGGCGACATGAAGAACGTGGAAGCGGCGCAGGAGAGCATACGCGCCCTCGAGGCGGCGCACGCGCTGGCGCTCGCGGCCGACGCGCGCGCCTGCTACGACGCGCTCCTGGAGAAGGGCCGCCTGCGGAGCGTCGCCTTCGAGGAGCGGGACCTGGGCGTGTCCTTCATCCTCGCGCGCTTCGACGCGGTCGACGAGTGCGACGACGGCGCGCGGTCGGCCGCGCTGAGCCGGCGCCTCGTCGTCGTGGAGACGACGCGGCCGCTGGGCGTCGCGCGGCGCATGCTCGCGCCGACGGACGAGCTCGTGGGCGTCGACGCGGGCCACGGCGACGTCGACCTCGTCGTCGACCCGACCGTCGAGGCCTTTGGCGCGCTCCTCGCGCGGCTCCGCGACGCGCCGCGGCCGCTGAGCCTCGTCTTCGCGCTCGGCCCCCAGCGCGAGGCGGCGAACGCGGCGGCCGTGGCCGCGGAGCGCGAGGAGGCGCGGCACCGCGCCGCGCGGCGCGCGTCGAAGCGCGCGGGCGAGCCCAAGAGTCCGCCCCAGAAGCCCAAGAGCCCGCCGAAGCCGAAGAAGGCCTCCGTGTCGTCGTCGTTCCTCGAGGCGGCCTTCGGCGACGCCGACGACGACCCGGGCCGCGTGCGGCGCGTCCAGTCGGCGCCCGTCGTCTTCGCGGAGGCGGAGCCCGTCGGCGACGGCGCCGCGAAACAGGGGGCCAATGCATCTCTCGGCCGGTTTCCACTCGTTTCGGCTGATCTTTGGGACGAGCGATCATCGCTCGGAGCGCTCTCGACGCGCGGACGCGCGGACGCTTTCTTTGGAACGCGCGCGCGCGGAACGCGCACGTTGAAGCGACGTCGCAGGTCGACGAGCCGTTCTGGAACTCGCACGACGCGCGCCACGACGAGGACCTCTGGCGGAGCCGGCGCGAGAGCGAGGCGGAGGCGCGGCGGGCGGCGGCGACGCTCGAGGCCCGGGCGAGCGCGCAGCGGCTCGTCGCCGAGACGGAGGCCGCGGAGCTCGCCGTGATCCGGCGCGAGCGCGACGCGCGGCGCCGCGCGCGCGTCGAGGGCGCCGCGCGCGACGCCGCGGCGTCCTCGGAAGCCTGCGTGGACGCGGCGAGCGCCGCCGTGGCCCTCGCGCGCGGCGCCGCCGGCGGCGCGCCGCGGCTCGAGCGGCTCCGGGCCGAGCTCCGCGAGCTGCGGCGGAAGCGCATCGAGGACGGCGACTTCCCCCGCGGGCCGCTCGCGAAGCTCCAGCGCGACCTCGCGGCGGCGCTGGGCGCCTTCGGCGGCGACGTGGCGGACGCGCTGGCCGCGGGCTGCGCCGACGACGTCGCGCTCGTCGCGCGGCTCCTGGCCACGGGGCGCGACGATTTGTGGGACGACGACGACTTGAGCGACGTCACGGAGTCGGACCTCGGGTCCGTCGCCGCGCGGTCGACGCCGGCGGCGTCGGCGCTCGAGAAGCTGCGGAGCCGCGTGGGCACGCCGTCGAAGAAGCGGCCGCCCGTGAACTCGAAGCGGCCGGACCTGGACGCGCTCCGGGCCATGGCCGCGGCCGCGCGGCGGCCCCCGGAGCCCGGGTCGCCCGTCGACGCCGCGGAGCTGCTCGCGGCGAAGGACGAATTCGACGCGCCGCTCGACGAGGCGCCGAACTGGGACGACGACGACGACTTGCGGAGCCAGGTCCTGCAGAAGGACGCGGACGACGACGACTTCGCGGACCGCGAGGCCGCGTCTTTGCGGGAGCGGCTCGACGCCGCGCGGCTGTCCCGGAAGGACGCGGCGGCCGCGGCGGACGCGGCGTCGGACGCGGCGCACGCGCTGGCCGTCATCGAGCACCAGCGGCTCGTGGACGCGCGGAAGGAGAAGCGGCGGGTCCTCGCGACGAAGGAGGCCGAGCGGCGGCTCCGGGACCGCCGGGCCGTCGAGCGCCTCCGGAGGGAGAAAGACCGGCGCGCGGCGGCGCGCGCGGCGGCGACGGCGGCGGCGGAGCTCGAGCGCGCGCGGCGCACGAGCGAGGCCGCCATGCGCGCGTACGCGGCGCTGGCCGAGAGCCGCGACGCGCGCGCGGCGTCCGTCGCGCTCGCCGTCGCGCTCGCCGAGGGCGAGCGGAATCGGCGCGTGTCCCTGGACCGGGCGGCCCGCGCGTCGGCGTCGGCGGAGACCGCCGCCGCGCGCAAGGCGTCGATCCTGGCGGCCGTGTCCCTCAAGAACGCCGAGGCCGAGGACGCGGCGTCGCGGCGGAAGGAGCGCGACGCGGCGGACCGCATCGACGGTTTGGCGTCGCGGGCCATGCACGGCACGCTCGCGGCGGCCTACGCGGACGGCGAGCGGGAGCGGCGCCTGCGGGAGTGGGCCGCGGACGCCGAGGCGCACGCGGCGCGGCTGCCGGCGACGCGCCGCGAGCTCCGCGACGCGTGCGAGCGCGAGCGCGCCGAGCGCGTCGCCGCGGCGGCCGCGCGGGACCGCGCCGAGGCCGCCGCGCGGCGCGACGCGACGGCCGGCGTCGTCCGCGCCGCGGAGGCCGAGCGGGACCGGCGCGTCGGCATCCTCACCGCGGCGCCGCTCCTGCGGCCCTGGCCCCGGGCCGCCGTCGTGTCGGCGAAGCGGCGGATCCGCAAGCTCGAGCCCGCGGAGCTCGCCGCGCTCGTGTCGCTCGTGCGGGCCGCCAAGGGGCCCCCGCGGGCGCCGGAGCGGTTCCGGGCCGCGCGCGACGCCGACGCCTTGGTCGCCGCGGAGCGGCGCGCCGACGCCGCGGAGCTCGCGGCGGCCGACGCCGCGCGCGCGACGGCGGCCGCGGCGGCGGAGGCGGCGCGGGCGCTCGAGGACGCGGGCGCGGCGGCGCGTCGCGGAGCTCGAGGCCGAGGCCGCGGCGCGGGACGACGCGGCGCGCGCGCGGGAGGCCGGCCTCCGGGCCGTCGAGGCCGACCTCCGGGCGCGCGTGGCCGAGCTGGAAGGCGCCGCGGCGGCGCCTCCGGACGACGACGACGGCGACCGCGTCGCGGCGCTCGAGGCGGACCTCGCGGCCGCCGGCGAGCGGCAGGCGGCGGCCGGCGCGCGCATCGCGGAGCTCGAGGCGCTCGCGCGGGCGGCGCCGGCGCCCCGGGACGGCGGCGGCGCGGTTCTGGCGGCGCGCGTCGCGGAGCTCGAGGCCGCCGTCGCGTCCAAGGACGAGGTCGAATCCGCGCTCCGCTTCAAGGTCGCGTCGCTCCAGGGCGACCTGGACGACGCGCTCCTCGCGAGCGCCGTCGAGGACGTCGACTGGCGCGCTATCGTAGACGACGCCGCCGCCGCCGCGGCCGCGGCCGCCGCCGCGGCGAGGGACCTCGACGACGACGACGCGCACGGCCTCGGCGCGCTGGCCGTCGCCGCGCCGGCGTCGGACGCGGCCTGGGAGGCGCGCCTCGCGGGCGCCGAGTCGCGGTGGAAGGCCAGGGTCGCGGGCCTCGAGGACCAGCTCGCCGTGGAGCGCCGCGACGCGATGACGGCCCTCGACGGGGCGGCGCGCGACCGCGACCGGGACGCGGACGCGCGCGTCGCGGCGCTCGAGGAGCTCCTCGCCGTCGAGCGCAACGACGCCGCCGACGCCCTCGCGGCGGCGGCGGCCGAGACCGAGGCCGCGCGCGCGGACGAGCGCGGCGCCGCGGAGCGCATGCTCGCTGCGGAGCGCGCGGCGCAGGAGGCGGACCTCGCGCGGCACCGGGCCAAGTTCGACGCGCGCATCAAGGCCCAGCGGAGCGGCCTCGACGCCCAGCGCGACGAGCTCAAGGCCGAGGCCGCGCGCTACCGCGCGCTCGCGGACGCGGCGCCGGCGCCGAGCCGGGGCGCGGCGGAGACGGAGGACGGGTTCACGCAGACCAGGGTGCACCCGTCCTACGAGGACTCCATGCACCAGGCCATGCACGCCGCCGCGCGCGTCGCGCACCACCACGAGCGCGAGCGCAAGAGGGCGGAGCGCGCGGCGGCCGGGCACCGGGACGCGCTCGAGGAGGTCCGGGCCGCGCACGACGCGCGACAAGCGGAGCTCGAGGGGGTCAAGGCCGCGCACGACAAGCGAGGCGCCGAGCTCGAGGGGGTCAAGGCCGCGCACGACAAGCTCCTCGCGCTGCACGCCAACGGCGCCGAGATGGTCGACGGCGGGCTCGACGAGGACCGGAGTCGGCTGGACGAGGACCGAGCGCGGGTGGACGAGGACCGAGCGCGGTTGGACGAGGACCGAGCGCGGTTGGACGAAGAGCGCGCCCAGCACGAGGGGACGCGAGCCCGGCTCGAGGAGAGCGCCGAGGGCGAGGGGACGCGAGCGCGATTGGACGAGGAGCGGAGTCGGCTGGACAAGGAGCGCGCTCGGCTGGACGAGGACCGAGCGCGGCTGGACGAGGACCGGAGTCGGTTGGACGAGGAGCGCGCCCAGCACGAGGAGACGCGACCCCGGCTCGAGGAGGACAGCGCCGAGCGCGAGGGGACGCGAGCCCGATTGGACGAGGAGCGCGCGCAGCTCGAGGAGGACCTCGCGGCCGCGGAGGCGGACGTCGAGCGGCTCCAGGAGGACAACGAGCAGCTGCGGCGGCGGATGGAGCATCCCGACGAGGGCGGCGGCGACGCCGGCGCCGGCGACGTCGCGCGGCTCGAGGCGGAGAACGCCGCGCTCCGCGGGGCGGGCGCCGCGGCGGGCCGCCTCGAGGCGGACGTCGCGCGCCTCGAGGCGGACAACGAGGCCCTCCGGGCGCGGCTCGACGACGACGGCCCCCAGGACGCCTACGAGGCCCTCGCGCGCGACCACGCGGCGGCGCGCGCGGAGCTCGAGCGAGCGAGCGCGGACGCCGCGCGCCTCCGGGCCGAGCTCGAGGCCGCCGGGGCCGCGGCCGGCGACGCCGACGCGCTGCGGCGGGACCTCGGCGACCGGGACCGCGAGGTCCACGACCTCAAGGAGGCGCTCTGCGACGCGAAGATGAACGCGGTCACGCTCGGCGCGGAGCTCGACGAGCTCAAGGGCTCGGGCAAGCGGACGACGGCCGCGGACCTCCACCTCTCGCCGGAGAACAGCCCGACGAAGGCGAAGAAGGGCTGGTTCGGCATGTCGAAGAAGGCCGCGGCGAGGTAGCGTGTAAGGAGTACTACTAGTGAGGCGCGCCGAGCGCGCCATCGCGTTTGAATCACAGGTGTTTCAAGGCTTCCGTCGAAGTCCGAGAGCCATCCAGATCGATCGCGAACGCACAAAGCGCTATGGCTGCCAAACTCGCTCTCCTCGCCTCCGGTGCGTCGCCCGCTCCCGCCCCCACGGGCAGCGTCGCCCGCTCCAGCAGCCCCGCTTCCCCCTTCCGCGGCCCCTCCCCGGCCCTTCGGGGCAGCCCCGCGACCCCGATCTCGACATAGGCGCGCTCGCCCTCGAGCAGTGGGAGGGCCTCCTCTCCGGCGACGCCCTCAAGGCGCCCGCCATCGACAACGCCCTCCTCGTGTCCCTCGCCGACGCCGGCTGGGAGGCCCACCTCTCGCCCAAGTGGGCCGGCGCGACCCTCGAGGACGCGGCCAAGCTCATGGGCGTGCTCAAGGACGCGACGAACGAGCACGTCCTCGAGGCCCGCGAGTTCACGCAGGCCGAGCTCGACGCCGTGCCGACCAGCGTCGAGCGACAGGAGTGTTTTTTCGCGTGAATTTCGCCTGAAGATGTGAAGAAATCCGACCCCGTCGCGCTTGGTAGGTGCCGACCGAGTTCGACTGGCGCACTGACCCGCGCGCGGCCAAGTGCCCGTCGCTCAAGGAGATCCGCGACCAGGCCAACTGCGGCAGCTGCTGGGCCTTCGGGTCCACGGAGGCCATGACGGACCGCATGTGCATCGCGTCCAACGGCACGGTGACGACGCACCTCAGCGCCCAGGACGTCACGTCCTGCGACAAGCTCGGCGACATGGGCTGCAACGGCGGCATCCCGAGCTCCGTCTACTCGTACTGGGCCCTCTCGGGCATCGTCGACGGCGGCAACTACGGCGACAAGAGCGGCTGCTGGTCCTACCAGCTCGAGCCCTGCGCGCACCACGTCAACAGCTCCAAGTACCCGGCGTGCCCCGACGAGGTCCGGGCGCCCAAGTGCGCGCGCAAGTGCGAGTCCGAGGACAAGGACTGGACCAAGGCCAAGGTCAAGGGCGAGAAGGGCTACTCCGTCTGCCAGCAGGGCGAGCTCGAGGGCACGTGCGCCATCAAGATGGCCGCGGACATCTACCAGAACGGGCCCATCACGGGCATGTTCTTCGTGAAGCAGGACTTCCTCGCCTACAAGTCGGGCGTCTACGAGCCCAAGCTCCTCTCGCCGCCGCTCGGCGGCCACGCGATCAAGATCATGGGCTTCGGCACGGAGGACGGCAAGGACTACTGGCTCGTGGCCAACTCGTGGAACGAGGACTGGGGCGACGACGGCTACTTCAAGATCATCCGCGGCAAGAACGCGTGCCAGATCGAGGACCCGGTCATCAACGGCGGGCCCGTCGCCGGCCACCCCAAGTCGGCCTAGGTTGGCCGCCGCTTCAAGGAACGAGATTCCACCGCCCGCCCGCTCGACGCGGCGCGCCGCGTCGCGAGCGCGAGGCCCTGTGTGCTGAGGAGCACCACCTAACCTGCTCCGTCTTAGTCGGAGGGGTGCGGCCCTGGGCGCCCGGCAAGAAGCCGACTGCGACGTGCCAGATTTGGTCGAAGGTGCCGCAGAACCACAAGCCTCTGCTCGAGTTCTCCGACGCCTCGTGCTCGACCCGTGTACACTATGCACCCGCGCGCGCCCGCCCCTGCACTTCCGCCCGCCCTTGCACCCCGCGGGCAATGCCCCATGCACCCCGAACCCCACTGGCGAAGAGCGCGCGCTCGGAGAGGCCGTACGCGCGACGTTTCACTCGAAAGATCGAGACAGCTTGAATCTAGCAGATGGTGACCCCCGCGCGCCCCCGCAGACCTCTCACACCCATCATGCAGAAGTTCCTCGTCGCCTCCCTCGCCGCCGTCGCCGCCGCCGGCCCGCTCCGCGGCCCGACGCCCGTCGCGCTCAAGCTCCGCGGCGGCGCGCAGCTCGGCGGCATCGACGACAAGACCATGCTCCTCATCCAGGCAGCCGGCACGGGCATGTTCGGCACGGAGTTCATCTTCTCCGACTGGGCGTCGACGCGCTACTGGGACGACGCCAAGCCGACGCGCGCGTGGAAGCAGCTCTCCGAGGCCATGGGCATCGCCCTCCTGCTCCACGCCTTCCAGGGCTTCAAGATCGCCACGGAGGGCGGCGACATCGCCACCTTTGGCAAGCGCTTCACCTACGGCTGGATCGCCTGGACGCTCATGCACTTCAAGTGGCAGAACGAGGGCTCGCTCATCTCCTCGGGCAAGTACAAGGGCCAGCTCGGCGGCGGCATCGCCTGCGCGACGATCTGCGCGCTCTCCGTCTACACGTTCTTCATGTGAGCGGACCACGCCGGCGATGCGACGCGCTGGCGCCACCGCTCAAACCGGCCCGCCGCGCGCGCGAGGACCGCCGCAGCAAGCCCTAAGAGAATCCTCCATACTTCTAGCTCGTTTAATCGACGGTCGAGGACGCGTAGAGCACGTCCGTGCGGAGGACGTACTTCGTCCCCGAGGCGACGGCGGCGCCCTCGTGGTAGACGGAGGCCGGGTGGTGGCCGTGGGGGAAGAGGAGCGCGCCGCCCGCCGCCGGCAGCACGTCGACGGCGCCGTCGGTCCCGTGGAGCCGCGTCGCGCCGCCGTCGAAGCCGTCGCTGAGGTAGACGAGGAGCGTGTACCAGGAGAGCGCGCGGCCCGTCGCGTCGTGGACGAGGACACCCGCGCCGTCGAGCGCCGCGGCGGGCCAGGCGGCGTCGAAGTGGGGCAGGAAGCGCGCGCCGGCCGCGTAGCGGTAGAAGCGCCAGCGCCGGTTCGCGGTCGTCGCGGGGCCGACCGTCTTGTCGCCGACGGCGACGGTCGCGGGCACGGCGCCGCGGACCCGCCGGAAGAGCTCGGCGGCGTCGGCCTCGGCGACGACGACGGCGCACATGTCGTTGCGGCGCACGGCGGAGTTGCGCGCGTCGTCGTAGCCCATGGCCTCCGTCGCGGCGACGAGCGCGGCGGCCTCGGCTCGCGAGAGCGCGCCGGCGACGGCGACGGCCGCGCCGGCGACGGCGACGGCCGCGCCCGGCGCGCCCCGGGGGCGCAGCATGGGCGCGTCGACGGCGAAGACGGGGCTCGCGCGGTCGCCGTCGTTCGCCTTTTCGATCGCCGCGACGCGGTGCGGCCTTCGCTCGAAACCGCCGGCGCCGTCGTCCACGTCGACGGCGGGGAAGCGCCAGGGCCGCGGGGGGTGCGCGCTGAGGACCGGCGGGTCGCGCGGTTCGATGACGAGCGCGCGCAAGAGGCGCTCCGTCGTGCCCTCCGTCGGCGGCGCCGCGGCGGCCGCCGCGCACGAGCCCCAGGCGTCGTCCGGCGCGTAGGGCCGGAGCATGCGCAGCGTCGTCCAGCCGGCGACGGGCTCGACGAGCTTCACGCGCACGGTGCACCCGTCGCGCGGCTCCAGCGCCTCGCCGACGGCGAGCGCCTCCATGCCGGGCAACAGCTTCATGACCCAGGTGCTCTTCTTGTTGCAGCCGGCGCGCACGATGCAGCCCTTGGGTGCGACGACGGAGCAGGCTTTCGGGCTCTCGTAGGTGACAAGCGTGTCGGTCGGCGGGCTGCGTATAGAGTCCACCATCGTCGAGACCGCCATCGCGTCTGCGTCAACTTCGACGAATCTGTCAAAGAATTGTCAAAGAGCAGTCAGACAGCTGAGCATGGCGAGCAAGATCCGTGGCAGAAACGCGATGCTCGCTCATCTCCTCCTCGTGACGCAGACCAGCGCGCTGCAAAAATGGGTCCGCATCGCCGCGTCGCCGAGTCCGCCGGCGACGGCAAAGGCTTACCCGCTCTACCCGCTGCCCGCGACGTACCTGCCGGGCTCGACCATCTTCCTGCGCAACTCGGAGCCGCGCAACGTCGAGATGGCGACGAAGGAGGAATATTTCGTGGCGAGCCAGGTCTCCGCCGACCGGTCGAGCGTCGCGACCGTCGGCGCGCTGCTCCGCATCGACGGCGTCGAGAACGCCACCCGCGACGCCAGCGACCAGGTCCTCGCGACGCCGCGAGCGCAACCGCGGGCGCTGCGCGTACGCTGCTCCGTCGTCGGCCGCTGCCGCGTCGTGGGGATCGACAACCCGGACGCGTGGCGCGACCCGTCGCGACGCGAGTACCTCGTCGCGCGCGTCGAGGACGTCGAGGACGACGATCCCGAGGCGTCGGAGGCGGCGGCGGCGTCCGCGGCCGGCGCCCTGCGGTTCCTCGCCGCGTCCCTCGCGCGCGCGGGCGCCGAGGTCGGCATGGACGCGGCCGAGGCCGGGAAGGCGCTGGCCGAAGCCGCGGACTTCGCGGAGCGGCGCGACGCGTGGGCGGCGCTCGAGCTCTGGCAGCGCTACGCGGCGACGCGGCGCGCGGCCGTGGCCGCGTACCACCGGGCCGAGCGCGACGAGCTCATCGTCGACGCGAAGCTCCGCGAGGGCGGCGTGCTCTCGATCCCCGTGAACGAGGCGACGCTGGGCGACGAGGCGCGCGCCCGGCTCGCGGACCTGGACCGGCGCGCGGCGGAGTACGTCGAGGAGATGGACCTGGCCGACGACGCCTTCTTCCAGGCGTGCCTCGAGTCGACGGCCGCGGACGACCGCCTCGAGAGGCTCGCGGCGGACGCGCTCCGCGAGGGCGGCCGCGTGGCCCAGCGCGCGGCCCTCGCGCGCGCGTTCAACGCGTCGTAAGTTTCGTGCAAATTGCTTCGCTTTTTCGACGCGGCCGTCCTTGCGCTCGTAGAGGGCGTGGGAGACCTCTCGAGAGGCGTCACGAGCCTCACCGGTGCGACTGGAGCCCAGTAGGACTCCCAGTCACTGGCTGTGGATTTTCACAGCGAGAATCTTTCGAGTCCTTCTTTCTGTCCGGCTTCGGCGTCCTCGCGACCGCCCGCGCGGGCCACACGGGCGCGCGGCCGCCTTTCCCGCCTTCGGGCGGCCGCGGGCGAACGCCCCGCAGTCGCCGGTCCGAAACGTTCACCGATTTGGCCGCTCACAGGTTCCGGACTTCTTCATCACTCACAGAAACCATGCCCGTGATCACGCATACCGATGGCAACGTCACGCAGCTCGAGGGCTGCAAGATGGTGCGATGTGACGAGAGCCGATGGTCAAATCTGACGCGCGCGCACAGGTCACGACCGAGATCGGCGGCAAGAAGGCCTCGAAGCTCTGGATCGAGCCGTCCTTCGACTGGCGCTGCGTCTGTAAGCCCATCATGCCGGGGAACCCCGACTGGTGCCCGGCGACGCACTTCGGCATCATCGAGCAGGGATGCATGAAGGTCGAGCGCGACTCCGGCGTCGTCTCGAATCTCGATCGCGTCGTCCGGCCGCGCCGCGCGCGACGCGCCTCAGGGCGATTTCGTTTCGATCGCGCCGAGCCCGACGACGCGCCGCGCCCAGGTACGAGGACGACCGCCCGGACGAGGAGTTCACCGCGGGCCAGACCTACTTTGTGGGGCCGGGCCACATCCCGAAGATTCTCGGCGACAAGACCTGCATCATGGTCGAATTCGCCGAGTCGGCCAACAAGATCTATGAGAACATCGACAAGTCGAACTAGGGCGCGAACAAGATCTACGAGAATCCAAGGAGAGAGCGCCGCGCGAAATGTACAGACGCGGCGCCCCAATTAACACCCCCACCGCGAGAACTCTTACGACGCTGTCTAGACGCCGTCCCCCCCGAGCCACGCGGCGACGGCGGCCTCGGAGAAGCCCGCGGCGCCCGCGTCGGACTCGAGGATCGTCGCGGCGTCGACGATGGTCATCTCGACGACCGTGTCGCCCCACTTGTCCTTGGGCCGCGTGTCCTTGACGCCGCCGGCGTTCTCCTTGATGCTCTCGGCGAAGGCGCCGAAGAAGCCCTTGCTCTCCTTCTTCTTCTCCGCGGGCTTCGGCGCGCCGCCGAGGCCCAGCCAGGCCTCGTACGCGCCGTCGGGCGAGCACGACGTCGCGTCGACGAGCGCCTGGCAGAACTGGTCGCGCCGCAGGAACTGGCGCGGCTCGCCTTTGACCATGAAGAGGGCTTCCACCGATGCGGCGTCGCCGAGGCCGCCGGCGATGGCCTGCACGTCGGCCTGGCTGGCCTGCAGCAGCGACGGCGACGGCGCAGTCCGCGACGGCGACGTCGCAGTGCGCGACGGCGGCGCGAAGCCGTCGACGGCGGCGCAGAGCAGCGCGAGGATCGCGATGCGGCCCATCGTCTCAATAGCGCGTGTTGCCGAGGTGCTAGGATCGCGCAACACACAGGCGCGCATGCGCAGAGCTCGAGCTCGTGGCCGCAAATGTCGATGGTGAGGGCGAGGAGCACCGCTGTGGCAATTCTTGCTGGCATGGCGCGCGCGAGATAAGCTGGCAGGACGAGGCCGTCTAGGCCGCTGAGAAGAGCGCGCAGAAATCACTCCAAGTGCTGCGCACGCAGCCGCGCGCTGCTCGAGTCGGCGCAGCGCGAGCGAGCATGGACGACGACGCCTTCAGCCTCGACGACTACCTCGAGGCGCACGCGCCGACCGACCAGAGCGATGCCCTCGTGCTCGTCCACCGCGACGAACGCACGCGCTGGGCCTTCGCGCAGAGCCTGCCGCCGCCCCGGACGCTCGCCCGGGCGTCGTCGTCGGCGTCCATCGTCGACGTCGGCGCCGGCGTCGGCGTCGGCCTCTTCGCGTCTCGCGGCGTCGGCGGCGGCGCCGTCGTCGCGCGCGCGGCGCCCATCGCGCACGCCGCGCGCGGCGACGGCGCGTGCTGCGACGTCTGCCTGTCGCCCGCGGACGCGCCCGTCGCGTGCCGCGGCGGCTGCGGCGGCGTCGTCTACTGCCGCGCGTGCTCGTCGTCCGCGCGCGCCGCGCGGCACATCGCGCGCGGCGAGTGCGCCGCGCTGCGCAAGTGGAAGCATCTCGGCGCGCCGCCGCCGAGCTGCCTGCTCGCGAGCCGCGTGCTGCGGGCCATGGCGGACGGCGGCGTCCGCGCGTACGTGGAACGACTGCACCGCGCGTCCGACGAGGTGTTAGCGGAAGACGACGGCTTGACGGCCGCCGCGGAGGTCGCCGCGCGCCTCGCCGGGAGCGACGCGAAGGCCGCTGCCGCGGTCCTCGGCGCGCTGCGGCGCAACGCCCACTCCGTCTGCGACGAGGAGCTGCGCGAGGTCGGCGTCGCGCTCTATCCGCGCGAGATCACGGCGGCGAACCACAGCTGCGCGCCGACGATCTGGCCGCGGTTCGCCCGCGCGCCGGGCGCGCCGCCGACCCTCGAGTACGTCGCGCTGCGGTCGCTGGAACCGGGCGCGGAGCTCTGCCACGAGTACCTCGACCTCGCGACGCCGGACCGCCGCGCGGCGCTCCGGCGCGGCTACGGCTTCCAATGCGCCTGCGCCGTCTGCGTCGGCGGCGGACCGAGCCTCGACGGCGTCCGCGCGCGGCGCGGCGCCATGGAGGCGGCCATCGCGGCGCGGGACTGGCCCGCGGCCGCGCGCGAGGCCGAGGCGCTCGCGCACCTCGAGGACCGCTTCGCCGCGGGCCACCCCTACGTCGCCGTGCACCGGCTGCGCTGCGCGAAGCTGCGCCTCGCGCTCGGCGACGACGCCGCGGCGCAGCGCCACGCGGTCCTCGCGAAGATCCGCCTCGACACGTCCCACGGCCGCGGCTCCGCGCTCGCCCGCGAGGCCGCGGACCTCGTCCGGGACCTCGACGACGACGACGCGGACTTCGACTGGCGCGCGGCCGTGCCGCGTAGAGGAGCCTAGTTTTGTGGCACCGCGGACCTCGTTCTGCGACCTCGACGACGACTTCGACTGGTGCCTCGAGCCTAGTTTCTGGTGTTACGACATGCGCTTCTCGTACTCGTCGAGCGTGGCCTTGACGTTCGCCGCGAGCTTCGCGAGGAGCCCGACGATCGCGGCGACCAACGCGCCGCCGGCGGCGTAGCCGTACCACGGCAGCTTCGCGCCGCCGAGGAGCGGGCCGCGCGCGCCCGCGGCGGCGAAGACGGTCATGACCGTGCCCGGGATGTAGCCGATGAGCGTCGCGCCGACGTAGGCGGCCCAGGACGGCTTGATGGCGCCGTAGACGTAGTTGATCGCCGGCGGCATGGGCACGAGGCGCAGCAGCAGGAGCAGCGTGAACCCGTTCTCCCGCACCGCCGCGTCGATGGCGCCGAGCTTCGGGTCCGTGCGTATCCTCGCCTCGAGCTTCGGCCGCAGCTTCGTGCGCCCGATCTGGAACGCCATGCACGCCGCCGCCGTCGACGAGCCGAGCACGAGCGCCAGCGCGGCCGGCACGGGATAGATGACGCCGGCGGCGGCCGCGAGCGGGATCGACGGGATGCCGCACATCTCGACGGTCACGTAGGCCGCGATGTACGCCAGGGAGCCCAGCGGCGTCGACGTCAGCGCCCGCACGGCCTCGATCCTGTCGCCGCCGTCGAAGAGAGCGCCGCCGCGCACCGTCAGCGGGACGCGCGGCTGCGCCGGCCGCCGCGGCGCGCGCGCGAGGTGGCGCGACGGTAGTTTAAAGCCGCTGCAGCATAGCGCAACGCTGCAGAGGAGCAGCGCTTTGCGACCTGCCATCCTCGATGGACTTTCAAAATGCGCTGTGTTGCAGTGCATGTTGAACCGATTTTTACCAGTCCACGCGCGGGAGCGGCGCCGCGTGCGTCGCAAAAATGCCGTCCTGGACGTTCGCGAAGGCGTCCTTCCGCGAGAGGACGCTGTAGCCGAAGGCGAAGGCCGTCGGCTCCCACCGCGCGAGCTCCTCGACCTCGGACGCGGAGCGGTTCCACGCGGCGTCGAATTTGGCGCTCATCGGGTCGTTGAATTTGGAGAAATCCAGAACGCCGCCGTCCTCTAATCTCAGCCGTCGCTGCTCGTGGTCGCAGAGGAGCGCCGGCGCGAGCGCCGCGAGGTCGTAGTCGGCCTCGTATTGCACGACCGCGTAGCGCTCGACGGCCGGGAGCACGTCGTCGAACAGCGTCCTCCAGACGCCGTGCCACTGCTGCCAGCACGCGAGCGCCTGGTGACAATGCGTGAAAAACGGGTGGCGCATCACGAGCGCGTGGGCCGCTCGCCGCGGGAAGAACGCCTCCATCAGCGCGACGTCGAACGTCGGGCTCTTCTGTATCAGAATCGATGCTGTGGGGTCGACGTGGACGGCGAGCCACTCGCGCTCGAGGATGGCGCGTGTCGTATTTTTGACGAGTTTGAGCAGGCCTTTGCACGTGTGGACGTCGTCGCCGCCGCAATCCGTCGTCGCGTCGCGACGCTTCAAAATCGGGTATACGGTTTGTGCGTGCATGCTCTCGTCTTCGACGTATGAAACATGTCTCAAAACCGAGCCCTTGGGTCGCACGTGTTGCACGGAACTCGACGGCATCGCCGCGAGGTGCTGTCGGAGGACACCAGTTCCGCTGTGTGCAAAACCGTGAACATTTAACCAGCACCTGCTTCGTCGACTACTTCCTGCGCTGGCGGTCGCCGCGAGGAGGACAAGAAGCTTGCTTTGACACGAATATCGCTCGCGTACGCCGGCCATCGATGCCTGAAGACGTCCGGCCATCGATGCCATTGCCGTGGTTGCGGCAGGTCTTTGGCGAGCTGCTGCTGATCGAGCGTCCGCCTTACGACCCGACGCGCACGCGACCACGCCCCACAAAACGTCAGGGCGCGGGGTGAACACCATCTCGATCAAGACCTCGCTATCATGTCGGAGGGAGACGATGCGCCTGAGCCGGAATGGCGCAAAAAGCAGAAAGAATACGAGATCAAAAAGGCCCGGGCCAAAGCGCTAAAACTCCGCCTGACCTGCACCATCTGCGGGGCGAAGGCCAAGCTCAATTGCCCCTGCGAAACAACCCAGTACTGCTCGACTGAATGCCAAAGAATTGACTGGCGCGACCGGGGCCACCGTGCGGCGTGCAAAAAGATCCGAAACGAGCGCGCGGCGGAGGCGGCGCGGGCCGAGGCGCCGACGCCCCCGCTGCCGGAGGAGGTGTTCTACGGGCCCGCCCCGCGGTCGCACGCCGACCAGGTCCGCGCGCGCATCGCGGCGGAGCACGAGGCGGCGCGGGCGCGGCGCGAGGCGGAGCCGGAGCCGGAGAAGCCTTTGCTCTGGCAGTCGACGCGCTTTGGGTCACGGTGCCCGGTCTGCTTCGAGGATTGGGACGTCAATGAGGACCCTTTGCTACTGTACTGTTGCTGCTGGATGGTCTGCCGGTCGTGTGCAAAGCCGATCATGAAAGACCGTATGCCATGTCCCTTGTGTCGGGTGCCGTATCCCGAATCGCACGCGGAATGTCTCGCACGTCTTCGTCGCCACGTGGAAAATGAGGTACCGGAGGCGATTAACGATCTGGGGAATAGCTATCGCGACGGTCAGCTCGGCCTTCCCAGAGACTCCTACAAGAAGGCTGCGAAGCTTTTCAAACGCGCCGCTGAGCTTGGGCAGGCGGATGCGATGTGCAATCTTGCATGTATACTCCAGAAAGGCGAAAACGGTGTCAGGCAGAATACGAAGAAAGCGAATCATTTATTCCATATGGCAGCGGAGCGAGGCCACCCGTATGCGATGTGCGAGCTTGGAAACGGGTATTTAAGAGCTGACAAATTCGAGGACGCGATGCGCTACTTCGCGATTGCTGCCGATCTCGGCCTAGCCAGGGCACAGCACAATCTTTCCGGAGGCTATTGGAACGGCCAGGGTGTGGAACGCGATCATGAAAAAGCTATCATCTGGATGAAGCGCGCGGCCGCCAACGGCCACGAGGACGCCCCAGCCACGCTCGAAAAGATGAACGGGATCGTGGTTCAGTTCGCCGCGGAATCCCCAGACACGCCTCCCAGCTAGAGTAAGTCGAGGCTCTGGATGTCAGACGGACAGCGCTCGCTAAAAGCCAGCGCGCGCGGACGCCTCCCGGGGCGCAGTTTCCCCTCAAGGTGAACTCTCACACAAAACGCTCTCCCATCAGCACACCGCCGCCGCTGTCATCGTGCGCGCGCGCGGGCGCAGCCCCGACCATGCCGGGCCTCATGCAGATGCTGCAGAAGCTGAAGAAGAACGACGACGACTGCAAAATCCTCGTGCTCGGCCTCGACAACGCCGGCAAGACGACGATCCTCCGGCAGCTCGGCAAGGAGGACCTGTCGCAGGTGCGGCCGACGCAGGGCTTCAACATGCAGCTGCTCCAGCACGGGCCCTACACGCTCAACTGTGCGCGGCCCGCGTCCACGCGACCTTCGCGCGCCGGAGACGAACGAACGCGCGCGCGTTCCGCAGGCTGGGACATCGGCGGGCAGAAGTCGATCCGCGCGTACTGGCGCAACTACTACGACAAGACGGAGGGCCTCGTCTACGTCATCGACTCGGCGGACACGCAGCGCCTCGAGGAGACGTCCATCGAGCTCGGCCAGCTCCTCGCGGACCCGAAGCTCGAGAACACGCCGCTTCTCGTCTTCGCGAACAAGCAGGACCTCATCAACGCCGCGGAGGTCGAGGAGATCGTCTCCGTGCTCGACCTCAAGCAAATACGCGTGCGGCCCTGGCACATCCAGCCCTGCAACGCCCGGGAGGGCGACGGCCTCGCCGAGGGCATGGAGTGGCTCGTCACGGAGGTCAACGCCATGGAGTAACACGGGTGTGTCCGCGGCGGCGCGGGGGTTTCCGCAGCAGCGCGGCGCCGCGGGTCGTCGAGAGCCCCGGTGGCACATCTCTACGAATTTAGGGGCGCGAGCTTGCCCGAGCGCGCGTCGAGCGCCGCGGTGACGGCGCCCGAGACCTCGGCGGCGAACTCCTGCTTGAAGAGCTCGTGCTCGCGCTGGAACTCGCGGCCGACGGCGTCCCGGACCTCGGCGGCGATCTGCGCCTTGTACGCGGCGAGCTCGCGCTCGAACTCGCGCGCGACGGCGAACTTGACCTCGTTCGCGACGGCCTCCTTGTAGACGCCGAGCTCGACCTGGAACTCGTCCCGCAGCGACTGGCGGATCTCCGCGCGGATCCAGTCGACGTCGACGCCGCCCGCGCCCAACGTCCCGGGCGCGTCGACGCCGCGCGACGGCGGCGCGAGGCCGTTATCCGCGTCGTCGCGGCCCGCGTGCTGCGTCGACGCGACGCCCTCCAGGTGGTCGTTGGACCGCGTGAAGGACGTCGTCTTCGACAGGTCCGTCGGCGCCATGCGGTGCTGCCGCGTGTGCCGCGCCTCCCAGGGCCCCCGCAATCCAATCAAAACCTCGCGCCAGTCGTCGGCGATGGAGATGTCGCGGTCCACGGTCGCGGTCTTGCCCGTGAGCTCGTTGACGCCGAGGACCTCGTCCTGGACCTTGCCGACGACCAATTCCGGCAGGTCCATCTCCAGGAACGCCTTGGCCGTCGTGTGGCGGTTCCGCGTGTGCCGCATGCGCTGCTCGATGTGCCGCTTCAAGATGCGCCACCGGAGCTTGGGCAAGAGGTCGAGCGCCAACCGAAAATCGGCGCCGGCGATGGTCAGGAGTTCGCTCGTCTTGCAGGCCGTCGCCGTGTCGTGGCGCCGGCTGCAGCCGAGGCACGACTCCTCGCCGAAGATCGCGCCGTTCGTGAGCCGCGCGGTGGGCACGGCGACGCGCGGCAGGCGGTGGTGGTGCTTCTTGTGGTGGTTCCGGTGCTCGGGCATGACGGAAAGCACCGTCAGCTCGATCTCGCCGCTGTTGACGATGAAGGTGCCCTCGTCCGCGAGGTCGTTCTCGCCGTAGACGACCTCCCCCTGGGGGATCGCGAGCGGCACGATCTTCGTGCAGACGTCGTTGAGGAAGGCGACGGACGCGCCGGCGAAGATGGTCACGTCGGACAGCGACGCCTTGTACAGGTGCTCGAAGACGTCCGCGCGGAGCTGGCGCGGCAGCTCCATGAGCACCGCGCGGTCCTCGGTCTGCCGCGAGTTCTGCTGCCGCACGTGGCGGATGACGCGCTGCGACAGCTCCACGGGCAAGGCGTTGGCCCGTAGGTAGCCCATGACGCGCTCGATGCGCGCCTGCTGCTTCCGCTCGAAGGTGTCCGGGTCGAGCACGTTGAGCACGTACTGGATGAGCCAGCCGAAGATGAGGCCGCCGACGGCCATCGCGGTCGTCGACACGAGCCGCGCCGACGTTTTCGTCGACACCATGTCGCCGTAGCCCACCGTCGTGATGGTCTGCATGGCCCAGTAGACCATGTCCACGTACCGCTCGCCGAGACCCTGGCTCAGGCGCTCGTCGAAGGGGAACACCGTCGCGTACGCGCAGCCCATCCAGTGGCTCGCGAAGATGAGCATGAAGAAGAGCTTCGACGCCTGGATCAGGGGCATCCAGTAGAGCAATTCGTCCTGGTACTTCTTGAAGAGGCGCTTCAGGCGGAAGAGCCGGAAGAGCTTGAGCACGCGGAAGACCCGCAGGATCTTGAACAGGCGGAACGCCGACGCCTTGCTGCTCGCCGACGACTGGCGCAGGCAGGGGTGCACGGGGTGGGCGCTGCAGAGGAGCGTGCCGTTGACGCCGCGCATGAAGTAGTCCACGGGCGCGCACGCGAGCGCGTCGACGAGGAACCACCCCCTCAGGTACGCGCGCGCGATGCGCCGCTTGTCGATGATGAGGCCCGGGCTCAGGTGCTCCTCGAGGCCCTCGATGTGGCCCTCGTCGCGCCGGTAGAGCGCCGTCAGGAAGTTGACGAAGATGTCGAGGAAGAAGTAGAGGTCGAGCGCGGTCTCGACGGCGTACCAGACCCCGACCGCGCTCCAGTCGAAGCCGAGGCGCATGGGCACCATGAGGGAGACGTAGGCCAAAGCGACGACCTGGGCGACGTCCCAGCGCAGCCGGAACTTGCCGTCCGGGTGGAGCACGGGCACGCACGCGCACCAGAGCCGCTTGTCCGCCGCCGGCGCCGGCGCCGCGGCGAGGTCCTGGGGGTGCTCGACGCGGTTGCCCACGGTCCGCTCGCTGGGCGACGGCGACAGGGACCCCGGCGCCGGCGACGGCGGCGGCGCCGCGTCGTCCTCGAGCGCGCCGTCCTCCTCGACGGGCACGACGTCGCGGCCGGACCGCTCCCAGATGAAGGACGGCACCTTCTTGCTCACGACCTTTTTTTCCTCCTTCTCGAGCATGATCTCGTAGAGCTTGTCCGTGTTCTTCACGAGCATCTTGATGTGGCTCCAGCGCTTCCGCTTGCCCTCGATCGTCGGGTCCATCTCCGTCTTCGCCTCCTCGACGGCCTCGCGCATGGACTCGCGGTGGATGTGCTGCTTCTCCGGCAATTTCAGGGGCGCCGCGGGCCGGCCACCGAAGAAGCTCCGCCGACCCATGGCCCGCGCGGGCCCCGCCTGGACGGTGCGCCGAGGCGCGCTGAGAGGGGCAGCCGATCGACGCCGGGCAATCAGCACTGCAAGAGCGGCAAAGGGTGCGCCGTGCCGATATAGTAGATGCTGCCGCGGCGCTTATCAGTTGCTAGCGGCGTCTGGCTGGCGCCGGGCCCGGCCGCGCCGTCGTTTCGCTCGCCGCCGGGGGTCGCGGGTCCGCGCGGGGCGCCGAGCGTCGCGGGCGGGCGACAAGTCCGTAGGAAGGAGGCGGGCAGCGCGGCCGCGGAGCGTCCGCGCGCGACCCCACGATGGGCGTCGGGGCCGAGGAGCGCCCGGAGCAGGAGCAGCTCCAGGCGGAGATGAAGCTGCTGAACTGGCACAAGCTCGCGAACGACGCGGCCCTGAAGGCGGCCCTGCTGAAGACGAAGCAGATGAAGGAGCGGGACGCGCGGCCGCGCGGCGCGGAGACGACGCGCGCGCAGGCGGCCTGGATGCAGCGCGTCATCGAGGAGGAGCAGTCCAAGCCCCTCCAGGTGTCCAAGGACTTTGTTTTGAGCTACCAGGAGCGCGAGCGGCGCGAGGAGGAGCGCCTCGACGCCGAGGTCCAGCGCCACATCGAGTGCCTGCGGCGGCTCCGGGACCAGATCGAGAAGCGCGAGTCCGTCAAGGCCAAGAAGGAGGCCTACCGCCGCGCCATGCAGCACCAGAAGCAGAGCGTGCCCTCGTCGAAGCTCGCGGCGAAGCGGCCCGCGCCGAGCGACGACGGCGGCCACCAGGGCCCTGGCGTCGCGATGACGGACGCGGCGCAGGGCACGCTGACGACGGTCATCAGCTCGCTGGACCGCCTCGTGGACCTCGAGCGGCGCATCGCGTCCCTGGAGAAGGACTCCATCTTCGACCGCGTCGAGCTGGCCGCCGGCGGGTCCATGGCCGGCTCCGTCGCCACGGACCGGTCGTCGCGGCGCGGCGGCGGCCGGTCGGGCCTCTCGTTCACGAAGCAGCGCATCCCGCCGTCGACGACGCGGCCGTCCAAGGACGTCTACGCCGTGCGCCTCCAGCAGCAGGGGCCCGGCGGCCGGGGCCGGGGCCGCGCGGGGCCCGGCGGCGTCCGCCGGCCCGTCGGCTACCAGCAGGGCTCCGCGGACCCGAACGCGTCGCGCCAGGACGCGGCCATCAACAGCTGGCTCAACCGCAAGAAGCAGCGCGAGCAGCAGCGCCAGCAGCAGTCCCTCGCCCGCGCCAACGGCGAGCGCCTGCCCGTCAAGGCGCCCGCGCGCGGCGCGGCGAGCGGCCGCCGCGGCAAGAACCCCGCGCAGCAGAAGTTCTTCGACATGAAGCGCCAGGTCGAGAAGCGCAAGGACAACATGCGCCGCGGCGGCGGCGGCGTGCGACGGTCCCTGGGAGGCGGGCCGCCGGGCGGCGCGACCTACAAGGCGACGGGCAAGCGGCGCATCCGCACGACGGCCGGCGGCGGCGCGCCGCGCGCGGGCGGCCGCATGCCCAAGCTCGCCAAGAGCAAGACGGGGGGCTACGGCAGCTCCTACGCCGGCTCGACGCGGCCCGGCGGGCGGAGCCAAAAGCCCGGCGCGCGGACGCTGCCCCACATCGCCGGCGCGGGCGTCAAGGGCGCGCGCGGCGTCCGGCAGGCGTGGTGAAAATCCCTCCCCTTCCGTAAACCTGTTACGCCGTCGGCGCGGGCACGGGCAGGCCCGTGGGCTTCCGCGTCGGGTAGGCGTCGACGACGAGGAAGTCGTCCGTGCACACGTAGGTCGCGGGCGGCTTCGGCCGGACGTCGTCGTGGGGGATCCAGACGAGCGACAGGCGGTAGACGCCCGGGTCGACGCCCCGCGGGATCGTCGTGTTGTAGAACATGGGCTCGCCGTTGGCGATGTCCTCGCCGAGGCATAAAGTGGTCGCGATGACCCCGCACGGGTCGACGCCGCTCTCGTCCGTCGCGCCGTCGCCGGAGACGAGGCGCACGGTGACGACGGCGTCGCGGAGCGTCGCGCCCGTGAAGGTCACGGCGAGCTCGAATTCGTCGACCGCGGCGACGAGGCCGTCGCGGATCCGCTGCCCGCGCTCCGTGAACTCGATGACGCGGCCCCTGCGCTCGGGCGAGAGCACGGTCATCTGCGCGTGGATCGTGTCCGACGTCGGCTCCGACGTCGGCGTCGACGTCGGCGCCGCCGAGGGGGACGGCGAGGTCGGGTGGACCGTGGGCCGCGGCGTCGGGAAGGGCGTGGACGTCATGAGCACGGGCCGCGACTCCGCCGCGTAGCCCGCGCGGTACTCCATGACCTTGACCGTGTACCAGCCCTCGGTCAGCGTCCGGCCGTAGGCCAGGTCCGACCCGGGCACGTAGTCCTCCTTGAAAAAGTAGGGCGACTCGAGCTGCTCCGCGTGCGCGAGGAAGTCGACGACGGCGCCGTCGCCATCCACCAAAACGACGTCGACGAGGTAGGACACGTCCGTGACCTCGCCGGAGTCGTAGAGCGCCGCGGCCGTCGTGAACTGGAAGGCGATGTCCGCGGAAGACCCGTCGAGGAAAAAGTACTCGGGAAGCTGCGTGAAGGCAACCGTGGTCGTCGACGGCACGGGCGTGACCGTGGGGCAGGGCGACGGCGCCGCGGTGCTGGGGAGGCTCGTCGACGGGTTCGACGACGGCAGCGACGACGGCGCCGAGGAGAGCGACGGCGCGCGGCTCGGCGCCGGCGTCGACGTCGGCGCTGGTGTCGCGGAAGGGAGGGGCGACGGCGGCGACGACGGCGCGGCTGTGGGGGTGACCGAGGGAGCCGCGGTCGGCGCGCGCGACGGCGGCGACGTCGGCGCGCCCGACGGCGCGGGCGCGGGCGCGGCCGTCGGCGCGGGCGCCGGCGCGTCCGACGGCCGCGGCGTCGGCGCCGGCGCTTCTTCGGCGTGGGCGACATCCTCGTCTTCTTCGCAGGAGCAGGGGCACGCGACCGTCGCGGGAACGCCCGCCGAGTCCTCGCGCGAGCAGCGCTTCGCCTTCTTCGCGACGTAGTCGCAGTTTCGCTTCGGCTTCTTCGCGAACCAGCTCGTCGAGTCTCCTTCGCAGGCGACCTCTTCTTCGATGATGCAGGTCCCGCAGGCCTCGACGCAGGCGTCGCGGGCTGGCACTTTGTATTCATCCTTCTTCTTACATCGCTTCGCCTTCTTCTCGACCCAGGAGCAGCCCTTCGATTTGCGCTCCCAGCTCGTGGAGTCGGCGCACTCCGACGCGGCGTCCGCCAGCGCGGCAACGACGAAGACGCAGCGGAGGAGGAGCATCATCGACGAGCTTCCAGTGCTCAATGTGGGCTGCGCCGGCGAACGATGTCGAACGCCGCCAGCATCGACGAGGAAATCGCGGCGTTTTTTTTACCGTTCAATCGACGGTGTTGAACATTCCGCGAGCTGTGTCAATTCTCGTGCGCGATGGCCTTCAGATTGTTAGCCCAGGCAGCGCGCCGCATCCCAGCGTCGACGCTCGCCGTCGTCGCCGGCGGCGCCACCGTTGCCACGTGCCACGGCGCCGGCGTCGACCGCGCGCGGCTCGTCGAGCTCGAGGCCCAGGTCGGCAAGCTCGCCAAGCTCATCGGCGAGGACGTCGAGTCGACGACGGGCCAGGGCGACATGGTCTTCTCCTGGGACCGGGAGAAGACGGCCTGCTTCCCCGCGGACTGCCCGCGCGACTGCCAGTCCGACATGCACGGCGGCTTCACGGAGGATCCCGCGACGGGCGCCGTCTACACGGGCATCCCCGGCTACGGTTTCTGCGCCATCTCGCCGGATCTGACGAAATGGACGCGCCTCGGCTCGGACCCGCGCCTCAAGGACAACATCCACGGGCTGTGCTGCTTCGTCGACGCCGCGGGCCGCACGGTCGTCGCGCTCGCGCAAAACAACGACGAGCGCGTCTTGATCGTCGCGGCGTCGACGGGCGCCGTTTTGGGCGAGCTCGCCATGCCCAAGGGCGGCGAATTCGCCTTCGCGCCGGCGAACGCCTACTACAGCAAGAAGCCGCTGCAGCAGATGCCCAACGGGGCGCCCCATCGGGCGAAATTCGCGTGCACGGACGTCGCGTACTTGGACGGCAAGCTCTACGTCGTCACGGGCTACTGCGACGGCGACTTCGTGCTGACGGCGACGCTCGGCGCCGAGGGCGAATGGACCTGGGGCCCGCTGGCCTGGGGCGGCAAGGGCTCCGGCGCGGGCGAGTTCGACACGGCGCACGGCGTCTTCGCGTTTGGTGGCAAGATCTACGTCGCGAACCGCGAGGCGCACGAGGTCGTCGAGTTCTCCAAGGACGGCGACTTTCTCCGGTCGTTGCCGGACATCCCGGACACGGCGCGCGTGTGCAACGTCGCGCGGTCGAAGAAGTATTTCGTGATGAACGCGCTCGAGCCCATCCGGCACACGCCGGCGAAGACCGCGCCCATCTTCGCGCACGACGGCGACGCCCTCAGGAGCGTCATCGAGCCGGGCGTGCTCGGCATCCCCGTGCTCAAGCACCTCCACCACACGTGGCCCCACTACGCGCCCGACGGGAGCCTCTACCTCCTCATCCACGGCTGGAGCGAGGGCAAGTTCGCCGTGCTGAAGCACGAGCCGCAGGGTCGCCCGTCCGTGCCCCGCGGCTGGCGCTACTGGAAGCCCGAGGACCGCGGGTTCTAGGCGTTAATCGGCCTCCTCGAAGCCCGCGTCGCCCTCGCGGCCGAGGATCTGGCCCCGGTTGTCGCGGATCGCGCGCGGCCGCTGCGTCCACTGGTCGATCTTGCCCGTCGTCCAGAGCACGACGGCGCCGTCGCTGCCCGGCGGCAGCGGCACGTAGAGCACGGCCCGGCGCTTCTTGAGCTGGACGACCATCGCGTCGACTTCGCGCGCGAGCGCGAACCTACCGAGCGGTGACGATGTTTCGTCGTTTCCCGTCTCTCGAACATCGTCGCGGCCGCAGGGACGCCGGCGCGGACGCGATCTCCGGCCAGCGCTTCGCGTCCTGGTCGCTCGGGCCGCTGACCTCGAAGAACTCCGTCGTCTCGCAGCCGGTGGTCGCGGCGGCGACGATGGCGTCGCTGAAGGGCGCGTCGTCGACGCCCTCGCCCGCGGCGAGCTGGCCCCAGGGCAGCGTGCGCCGCCGCCGCCGGTTGTCGATCTCCCGGCGCAGGGTCTTGATCTGCTGCGGCGTCAGGAACCCGTCGGAGACGTCCGCGACGGCGGCGCTGCCCGTTGCCGACAGAGCGATGCGACGCTGCGGCGGGTGAGACGCGGGCCGGAAGGCCGCGCTGAGTCGCAGCAGCGCGAGGACGAGGCCGCGCAGGGCCATCATCACACTGCAAGCAGTTTTTTCCACTGCTGCAAACAGCGATGGTGAGCACGCGCACGGGCCGAAAGTCGTCGATCGACTCGGCGGGCTCCAAGGCGAGCTCGCCGCGCGCGCCGCCGTCGTCGAAAAAGCCCGCGTCGGCGAAAAAATCGGCGTCGAAGAAGGCGCCGAAGGAGCCCGAGGAGGAGGAGGAGGAGGAGGAGCTCGAGCCGCTCTGGTTCGACGACGGCCAGCGCGAGGCGCCGGCGGCGCCGGAGGAGGACGCCTCCGACAACGACGCGAGCGACGGCGGCGACGCGCCGAGCGCCTTCTTCGTCGACACCGCGCCCGCGGACGAGGGCGCGGACGTCGTCCGCGTCGACTTCCTCGGGAAGCAGGAGGAGCTCGAGCCCGGCGCCTACTTCGGCGCCGTCGCCCGCGGCGTCGCCGCGGCGAAGCTGGAAATGTTGCGGCGCGTCGGCGCCGACGCCGCGCGGGCGCTCGACGCGGACGACGCGGCGTCGTCGTCCGACGACGAACGAGCGCCCGCGGCGGCGCCGCGCGCGGACCGCGAGTCGCGCTACGTCGACTTCGACGCCCTGGAGATCCGCGGCGACGCGCTGGCCGCCGCCGGCGGCACGGCCGACGCCGCGCTCGCGAGGGCCGCGGCCGCGGTGCCCGCGGGCCCCAAGAAGCGGCGCTCCAAGTCCGACAAGGCCGCGGCGCCGGCGACCGCGGGCCCGGGCTGGTTCGACATGGCGCGCAGCGAGAAGACGGCCGTCTCCGAGCTCGACGCCAAGGCGCTGGCCTTCCGCGGCGTCACGGACCCGAAGCGCTTCTACAAGAAGCACGACGCGCTGTCGCCGTTCGCGCAGATCGGCACCGTCGTCGCCGGCGCCTTCGAGGGCCGGGGCCAGACCCTGCGGCGCAGGGACCGCAAGACGTCCCTCATGGGCGAGCTCCTCGGCGACGAGACGAAGCGCGCCTACGCGAAGCGGAAATTCACGCAGATCCAGGACAAGGCGCGCGGGCCCGGCAACGCGCGCCTCAAAGGCAAGAAGAAGCACGCGAACAAAAAGCGCGGCTAAGCATCCCAGCCTAGGGCCGCCGGGATGTCCTCGTAGTCCAACGTCCAGAGGCGGACCGCGTTCTGCTTCGCGTCGTCGTAGCACGCGTAGCCGAGGAGGCGCCGCTGCGTCGGCGTGAGGTCCTTGGCCCTCTCCAGCGGGAAGCCGACGCAGCCCGCCTCCTCGGGCGTGAGCCAGCCGCTGCAGAAGCTCAGATGTAGGCCGTGGCGCCTGGCGAGCGCGGCGTCGTCGCGCGCGAGAAAAAAGAATCGACGCCGCGCCGCGCCACTCGTCCGCCGTCGCGTTCGCGCCGCCGCTGTGGACGACCTTGCCGGAATAGATCAAACCGCTGCCCGATTTCATCTCGGCTTGGAGGATTTGGTCCGGCCGCGCCTCGGTCCGGAAGTCGCGCCAGCCGTGGCTCCCGGGCGCGACGCGCGTCGCGCCCGTCTCGGCCTTGAAGTCCGTGACGGCGAACATGCACGACACGGTCACGGGGATGCTCTTCGGCCCGTCGCAGAAGTGGCCCCAGTTCTCGGCGTCGCGGTGGAGCCACTGCGCCCGGGACCCGGGGCCGATGCACATCATCTGGCCCGTGTTCATCCAGTACTGCGCGCAGTGCGGCAGGAGCTCGGCGTCGGCGACGCGCAGGAGCAGCGGATGCACGAGGACGCGATCCAGAAACGTCCGCGACCGCGCGGCGAGGCGCGTGAACCGCTTCGTGTTGCCGCCCCAGAACTCGGCCACGTCCGCGTCGTCGGCGGCGGTGCCGGGCGCCGTCGCGCGGAAGGACGCCTCCGTTTCGTCCCGCAGCTTCGCCAGCGTCTCCGGCGACAGCATGTCCTCGACGATGACGGCGCCGTCGCGCTCGTAGGCCGCCCAGATGTCGTCGAACTTCGCCGTCGCTGGGAACCGTCGCAGCGCCGGTTTTTTCGCGGACCGGCGCAGGCGTCGACGCAGCGCGCCGACGGCGGCGGCGCCCGCGACGGCCCACGCCGCGGCTTCGAGCGCGTCGATCATTCCTCGAGCAGCGCGCGGCCCGTCGCGCGCGCGAGGCAGAGCAGGATGTGAGACACGGCGAGTCGGGGCAGCGTCGATCGGCCTCAAAGTGCTCCTTGCTGTGGATGTCGACCTCCCCGAACTCGTTGCACTTGGCGAGCTCGCCTGCCCGCGCCGCCACCGCCGCCGAAGCCGCACACTGCGCGTCGGCCGTACCATTCCTCGCCTCCCGAGTGTCATCTTGTTGGTCCAGCTCCGCGGCATGGCGTCGCTGGCGGCGCCGAAGCGCCTCGCCAAGGTCGTGGCGCCGACGTCGGCGGGCGTCGAGGAGTGCGGGCGCGTGCTGGCGTCGGGCGGCCTCTGCGCGTTCCCGACGGAGACGGTCTACGGCCTCGGCGCGAACGCGCTCGACGAGGCCGCCGTGCGGCGCATCTTCGAGGTGAAGCGGCGGCCGCTGAGCGACCCGCTCATCGTACACGTCGCCGAGCCCGAGGACGCGCTCGGCCTCGTGGACCTCGGCGGCGCGCGCGCGGCGGCCCACAAGGTCTTCGTGACGCTCACGCGGGCCTTCTGGCCCGGCCCGCTGACCCTGGTCTGCCCCGCGCGGAACCACCTGCCGGCGTGCCTCGGCGCGGGCACGGGGACCGTCGGCGTCCGGTGCCCGTCGCACGGTTTGGCGCGGGCGCTCATCGGCGCCGCGGGCGTGCCCGTCGCCGCGCCGTCGGCGAATTTGTTCGGCCACGTGTCGCCGACGCGGGCGCAGCACGTTGTGGACGACCTCGGCGCCAGCGAGCTCCACGTGCTCGACGGCTCCGCGGCGGGCGAGTTCGGAGGCGACCCGCCCTGCGCGCACGGCATCGAGTCCACGGTCTGCGCCATCGCGCCGGCGCCGGGCCGCGACGACGCCGTCGTCCTCACGGTCTACCGCCGCGGCGCCGTCGCCGCGACGGCGCTCGAGCGGGCCGTCGCGGACGAGCCGGACGCGGAACTCCGCGCGGCCGTCGCGAAGCTCGTCGTCGTCGACTCCTACGCCGACGACGCGGACCCGGCGGACCCGGCGGCGCCCGCCGCGCCGCCGGCGAAGCCCGAGTGCGCGCCGGGCCAGCTGCTCACGCACTACGCGCCCAAGATCCCCGCGGCGCTCGTGTCGCTCGTCGCCGAGGCGGGCGCCGACGACGCCAAGTCCGACGCCTACGTCGCCCAGTGCGTCGTCGTCGACTTCGGCGGGCGCCTCGCGGCGCTCGAGGACGTCGCGCTCGCCTACCGCGACCTCAGCGCGGCCGGCGACGCGGCCGCGGCCGCCGCCGCGCTCTTCGAGACGCTCCGCTGGGCCGAGGACGTGCCCAAGGCCAAGAACGTCTTCATCGCCGACCTCCAGGCCGAGAAGGCGTCGCCGGGCCTCATCGCGGGCGTCGCCGACCGCGTCTACCGCGCGACGAGCGGCAACACCATCGAGATCCCCCGCGCGCCCAAGGCCGAGGGGCCCCAATAATCACGATCGACGCGGGGTACGACCTGAGTAGACCACGCCCCTCCCCTGTGCCCGCCGGGGGGAAGCTATGACCTCAGGCGGGGGTAAGGGAGCGGCATGGTCTACTCATGCCAGACGCGGGGTCAATAGCAGGGGCTGCAACCGCGCGAGCTTCATGTGTACCGAGTGGCCCCGCGGCTGGGCGTCCCGCGTGAATTCCCGCCGCTCACGTGGGCGCGCGCATCATGTTGACCTCGACGGCCCCCAGGACGAGGGCGACGTTCAGGCCGACGTACTGCGCGCAGAAGAGGCCGTCCACGCGGAAGCCGCAGCACTTGGGCCCGCCGTCGAGCGTCCGCAGGAAGCCCTTGGCGTGCTCGACGTCCGCGCGCGCGCCCCGGTCCGCGCCGAGGTCCGCGTGGCGCGCGTTGATCGCGCGCAAGATGTCGTCGAACGCGTGCGTCAGCCCCGCGGCGCTCGCCTACCAAGTGCGACGGGGTCGGATTTCTTCACATCTTCAGGCGAAATTCACGCGAAAAAACACTCCTGTCGCTCGACGCTGGCGCTCGCGAGCGAGATCGCGTTGCCGGCCACGGCCAGGCCCGTGTAGGTCAGGAGCCAGTACTGGCCGAATTCGGCGGCCTGGACCTCGCGCTTGAGGACGTACGTGAGGACCAGCGCGGTCAGGGACGCCGTCGGCAGCGCGCACTGGATCCAGAGGAACGCGGCGAGCCGCGTCGCGGACGCGCCGACGCGGGCGTCGAGCGCGCCCGCGGCCGCGTAGGTGGCCGCCACGGGCGCGCGGCCGCTCGCGAGGTCCGCCGCGAGGCGCTCGGCGTCGCAGCGGTGGCCCTCGCAGACCGTCGCGGCGAGCGCGGCGAACGCGGCGACGGGCGCCCACCAGAGCCACAGGTAGAGCGCGGAGGGCGCGACCTCCGCCCAGCCGCGCTCGTCGAGCGTCGCCGTCGCGACGGACGCGGCGACGTGGAGCGCCTCGAGCGCCGCGACCGCGCGGCGGACGCGGCGCTCGAAGTCGGGCCGCGCGGACCGCGGCACGCGCGCGGCGATCGCGGCGACGTGGTCCGCGCGCGCCGAGAAGAGGTCGCGGTTCAGGTCGAAGAAGCAGTAGGCGAACGCGACGACGGGCAGCGCGTTGAGCAGCGCGCCCGGCACCATCATCTCCCAGCAGCCCCCGGGCACGCGGAAGGTCGTCCGCGCGCGCGCGAAGAACGCGTCGATCCGCGAGGCGCTGCCCGTCGCCGCCGCGGCGCGGCAGCCGCCGCCGCCGTCGATGCCCAGGCCGGCGAGCTGCAGCGCGAGGAACGAGCACGCCGCCAGGAACGCGAGCGCCTGCCAGGCGAGCACCGCGCGCCGGTCGCTGGGGCGCCAGAGGCCGGCGAGGACGAGGAGCCGGCGCAGGGGGTGCAGACCGCCGTTGTCGAGGTCGTAGGGCGCCTCGGCCGCCGCGTCGGCCCCCGAAGCGCGCGCCTCGTCGGAGATGCCCGCCTCGGTGCGCTCGAGGAGGATGCCCGCCTCGGCATCGTCCAGGAGAGGCCGGTCGAGGACGTTCGACTGCCCAGCCATCTCTTCTCGAGATCTAGAAGGGGCAGCCATAGACAGAGATCATAGACTTTCTTTCAAGTATCCGGATATATTTGCTTGACGTATTATAAGCAAGGTTCAATCTGGTGCGTAGCGGTTTCAGAGAACACTTTTGATAGGCCGGGTTCTGCGACAGGATGATGCTCTGCCTTGACGAACCCGGCATGTAGACCTGGTCTCCGAGGCAATGCCGTCGTCGCCGTCGCCGCCCCCCACCGAAAAGCGGCGATGCGCGCGCGAGCGGCTGCCCTTCCGAGTGTGGTGCGACGCCGCGTCGTTCCTGCGGCCCCGCGAGCTCGGCCGCCTCGAGCGCTGCCACCGGGCCTTCGCCACCGTGAGCAACGCCGTCGGCCGGGACGCCTTCCTCGCGCGCATGGCGGGCTTCGGCTTCCACCCGCGGCAGGCCGCGGACTTTTACGCCGCGTCGCGGCGCCGCTGCGGCGTCGTCCGCCGGCGCGGCGTCGGCCCCGCGCTGCACATGGCCGTCTGGCTGCCGGCCCTGGACCACTACGCGGCCCTCCGCGAGAGCAGCAAGTGGGTCGACCGCTACTTCCGCGGCCGGCGAGGCTGGGAGCTCGTCGTCGTCCTCGCGGAGCGGTTTTCGCACGCGTCGGACCGCGAGCTCCACGTCCACCGCGCGACGCTCGGCGCCATCCTGGGCATCGCCGACGGGCGCGACGCGCGGGGCTGGGACGAATTCCTCGAGTGCTACACGGAGATCCGCCACGCGTACGCGCCGGCGACGCGCATGCTCCTCGACGTCACCGCGAGCCTCGTCGCGTCCGCGCCGCCGCGGTCCGAGGCCGTGTCCCTCGCCATCGACCACCTCCTGGGCGGCCGGCTCAACGACGAGGAGCGAGCGCGCGTCGAGGCCTGGCGCCGGTCGCCGGCCTACTACGCCTGAGAGAAACGCCCCCTCGGGACCCCCGAGGCTAAGTGGCTTTCTCCGAGAGACGACGCAGCAAAACCAACTCATTACCAACTCAGTGGCAGGCTACGTGGCTTTCTCCGGGAGACTATACTCAAAATCAACCTTACGAAGGCCGCTGGCGCCGCGGCGCCTCCGCGCTCTGCGACTCAGGGAAGTGGCGCCGCATGTAGGCGACGCTCTTGCAGACGACGAGCGCCGCCGGCCACGTCGCCTCGGCCCAGCGCACGCACGCGTCGACGGCGTCGTACTCGCGGGACCCGTTGATATCGACGAAGACGACGTCCGATGCCGGCGCGGCCGACGCGGCCGTCGCCGGGTGCGCGAGCACATCGCACGCGAGGAACGTCGCGCCGCGGACGTCCGCGGCCGCCGCCGCGAGGCGATCCCTGGCCTTGTCGACGGCGACGACGGCGGCGCCGCGCGCGACGAGCGCCTTCGTCGTCGCGCCGAGGTCGCAGCCGATCTCCAAGACTTTGTCGCCGTCGAAGACCTGGGTCTTCGCGGCGAGGCGGTACTCGCGCGTCTCGTTGCAGAAGAGCGTGCGCGGGCCCGCGCCGCGGTGAATCCGCACCAGGTTCGCGGGCCGCACGAGGTAGGAGCTGCCGTCGCCGTACACCACGGGCACGCGGCCGTCGTCGGCGGGCGCCGCGTCGCCGACGACCGCGGCGGCGAAGGGCCGCTGGCCGCTCCTGCCTTTGCTCTTCATGACGAAGACGCGCTCGCCCGCGACGAGGTTCGTCGTTGCGTGCGGCGCGAAGGCGAGCTCGAGACGCTCGATCGCAGCCGGTGCAGCGCTGGCGCATGTCGACGAAGCGGCTGCGAGAGATGGCATTGGCTCGATCGCAGCCGGTGCAGCGCTGGCGCATGTCGACGAAGCGGCTGCGAGAGATGGCATTGGCTCGATCGCAGCCGGTGCAGCGCTGGCGCATGTCGTCGAAGCGAGAGATGACATCGCACAAGCTCGCCAGGTTCACCGCTGCTGCAATGTTGCACCGATCATGATGATGCAGTCCCCGAGGGCCGCGCAAGGCCTCGCGCAGCCCTCCCGCGGCCCCCGCGCGAGTGAAGCCGCCCCGCTGTGCGGAGAAGCTCCCCGGTGATGGTTCTTACGGCGAGCGAGCGGTGCGGTGTCGGGCGGGCTAGTAGCGCTGCTGCTGCGGGGGGTACCCTTGCTGCGGCGGATACTGCTGCTGCGGCGGCGGTCCGCCGTAGCCGCCGCCGCCGTAGCCGCCGCCCTGGCCGCCGTAGCCGCCGCCCTGGCCGCCGTAGCCGCCCCCCTGGCCGCCGTAGCCGCCGCCCTGGCCGCCGTAGCCGCCGCCCTGGCCGCCGTAGCCGCCGCCCTGGCCGCCGTAGTTGCCGCCGCCGCCGCCGCCGTAGCCGCCGCCGCCGCCGACGTAGCCGCCGCCGGGTCCGCGGTAGCCGCCCGGCCGGTCGCCCGGGTAGCCCTGGGGCGGGCGGCCGTAGCCGCCGCCCGGCGGGCGGCCGCCGCCGTAGTTCCGCGGCGGCCCGCGCTCCTGGCGCTCCTGGCCGCGGCCCGGCTCGTGGGAGAAGCGGCAGTTGGCGCCGTTGAAGCAGCCCGCGGGGCTGTTGAAGAAGCGGCAGAACGTGTGGCTCACCTTGCCGCGGACCTCGGGCCGCGACACGCGGAGCTGGCGGCCCTCGTGGTCGCCCCCGTCCATCTTCTCGATGGCCGTCGCCGCGTCGGCCTCCTCGGCGAAGGTCACGAAGCAGAAGCCCCGGGACCGGCCGAACTCGGGGTGGAGCGGCATGAAGACCTCCTTGATCGCGCCGAAGCGCTCGAAGATGCGCTTGACGTCGCGCTCGTTCGTCTTGTAGTCGAGGTTCGACACGTAGATCTTGCGCACCTGGTCGCCGTTGTCGGGCATGGCGCTGCCGCTCTCGTGCCAGCGCGGCGCGGGCTGCGACGGCTTGGCACCGGGCGCCGCGGCGGGCGCCGCGGCCGCGTCGCCCGACGGCGGCGGCGGCGGCCTCGGCGCCGCGGCGGGCGGCGGCGGCCGCGGGGCCGCGGCCGGCGGCGGCTTCGGCTGTCCGCGGAGCGCCTGCGTCGACGCCGCGAAGGCCTCGAGCGCGGCGTTGACGGCGTCGTCCGTCTGCTTCACGGCCGCGGCGGCCGCGGCGTCGAAGGCGGGCGCCGCGGCCGCGGCGGCGGCGGGCGGCGCGTCGAAGGCGTCGGCGGCGGGCGGCGCGTCCGTGCGCGGCGCCTTGGCGGCGGCGGCGGCGACCTCGTCGGACTCCGTGCGGTCGCGCTTCCGCGGGTCGCCCGCGCTCGGCGTCGGCGACGCGGGCGCGCCGCCGTCGGCAAGGCCGCCGCCGACGAACGTCGGGATCGCGCCGGGCGCCTCGGACGGGCCGGACCGCTCCGTGCCCGTCGACACCTCGCTCATGACGCTGTAGGTCGTCGCCAGCGCCGGCGACTGCGCGCCGGGGTGCGGGAACTCGCCGTAGACGGCGCTGCCGGCGTCCGACGCCGCGCGCGACGCCGCGGGCGGCGACGGCGGGTTGGGCGGCGCGTCGGACGGCGGCGGGGGCTCCATGAAGGCGGCGGCGCGGCGGGAGCGGCCGAGGGTCGTCTATACGGCTGTCAAAGGCGTCTCAGAGGCGACGATCCGCCAACATGCTCAGCGATCCCCGAGGCTCGAGCCTCGGCAACGATGCCGACATGAAGTAAAGGTGAAGTGGCAAGAGGCGATGGCCGCGTCTCTCGAGGCGATACAAGCCGCAGAAGCATCCTTGGCACGAGCATCACTCGACAACAACAGCACCGATGCATCGACAGACCCCTACGCCGACGAAGACCGCATCGAGCGCGACCTCGAGACGCTGCCGTCCAAGGCCAAGGGCCCGGCCCTCGCGGCCCTCGCCGCCGCCGTGAAAGCCAGCCGCGCCAGCTTCGACGTCGACGCGGCGGCCTTCGTCGCGCTCGTCGTCGACGGCGGCCTGCGCTGCGTCGACGTGCGGTCGCCCGGCGAGTTCGCGCGCGGCCACGTGCCGGGAGCGGTGAACGCGCCGCTCTTCGACGACGTGGAGCGCGCGCAGGTGGGCACGGCCTACAAGAGGAAGGGCCGCGCCGAGGCCATGAGCCTCGGCATGTCCAAGCTCGCCAAAAAGGGCGGCCTCGGCGCGCTCGCGGCGCGCGCCGCGGGCGACGCGGCCGCCGGCGCCCGCGTCTGCGTCCACTGCTGGCGCGGCGGCCTGCGGTCGGGCGCGGTCGCCTGGCTCCTGCGGCGGCGGGGCTTCGACGCCGTCGTGCTCCGCGGCGGCCACCGGGCCTACCGGGCCCACCTGCGGTCGCTCTGGGACCCGCGGGCCCCGCAGCCGCGACTGGTCGTCGTCGGCGGGCGCACCGGCGTCGGCAAGACGCGCGCGCTCGGCGCGCTCGCGGCCGCGGGGCGCCAGGTCTTGGACCTCGAGGCCCTGGCGAAGCACCGGGGCTCGGCCTTTGGCTGGCGCGCGCCGCAGCCGACGAACGAGGCCTACGAGAGCCTCTGCGGGCTCGCGTGGCGATCGCTCGACACGAGCCGCGACGTCTTCGTCGAGGACGAGGAGGGCCACGTGGGCACGGCCCTCGTGCCGCCGCCGCTCTACGAGCTCATGCGCCTCGCGCCCGTGGTGCTGAAGATCGAGTGCGCCTACGAGACGCGGGTCGCGAACCTCCTCGAGGACTACGCCGAGGACGCGGCGCGCGACCCCGGCGCGTTCGACGGCCGGCTCCGCGACGCGACGCGCAAGGTGTCGAAGCGCCTCGGCGGCGACCGCACGGCCGAGGCCCTGGCGCTCCTCGACGCGCGGGATCTGGCGGGCTACGCGCGGCTGCTCCTGGAGCGCTACTACGACAAGCTGTACGACAAGCACCTCGCGGCGCGCGCGCGCACGGACGCGGCCGTGTTGGACGTGGACGCGGCGCACCCCTTCGACGCGCGCGCCGTCGCCGCGGGCCTCGTCGCGGCGCTCGACGCCCACGACGCCGCGAGGGGGGCCGCGGCGCCGCGCGCGCCGCCCGCGTTCGACGACGCGGTCGACGACGGCGACAAGGGCGGGCCGCCCTGGTGCGCGCCGAGCTAATTTCGCAGCCCAGTCTTCGTGTGGCGTTGGTAGATGCTGCGGGCACGCGCGCGCGGGGCGCCACGTGGCGCGCCTCGTCGACGCGGTATTCGAGCGCGCCGAAACAGTACGACTCGGAGGTTTCGTATCGTAGTGTTAGTCGGCGGGCGCGAGTTTTGCTCGGCCCGCGGTGGGCGCCGCGGCGGGTTGGCGAGGCCGCTGGCGCGGGGCGGCGACGCCGCGCTGAACGCGGCGTCGGGGCCCGGGGGGATAAATCTCTCAGAGGGGGGGGGTGGGGGGGGTAGGGAGCGGCGCGTGGAGTCGAGTGTCTTAGGGACAGGAGGGAACAGAGGAGAGGCGGAGCCTCTAGGTGTAGGTCTGAGGTGAGGTCAAGGTGAGGCCGATGGTGAAGCCAGTGGTGAAGCCCCTGGTGAGGGCAAGGTGAAGTAGGAGTACCAACTCCACCCCCCCGCAGAGAGAAACGCTGGTTTCTCGCTGGAGAGAGAGAAGGAAGGTTGAACCTTGACGTGGAAGAAGAAGTTTGACGATGTGGACTCGTAGTGTCGGTCATTGCGCCGACCGCGATGCGTGTTGAATGCGCGGTTGATGACAGACTAGGTGGTTTGGCAGTGGTTCCATGGTTTGGGGACCATGCAAAACGCCCTTCCTGGATAAGGATGCCAGGGTGACGCTGCCATTGAGCGTGAGCGTGGTCAGAGGCCGCGTGTTTGAGAGTGTCGTGAGGCGTAGTAGCCGCGGCGTCGGGGAGCGACCCCGGCGCTGCTATTGAGCGTGAGCGTGGTCAGAGGCCGCGTGTTTGAGCGTGTCCGTGAGAGGAGCTGCTGGTGCGTGTCCGTAAGAGGAGCTGCAAGGTTTGACTAGTCGTGGAGCGCTGGGGCTGTGTATGGTGCTTTGCACGTGGGCAAAAGCGTGAGTAGAGGACGCGCTCGTTTGCACGAATTTTGGGACGCGTCCGTCTCGGGTGGCGAGCAGCCTGGGGCGCGTTTTCAGGTGATCAAGTCTGGTAACGCGGCAGGTGCATGTTTGGGCGCTGGAAGTTGAGGCGACGAACGTTGACGCGCTCGTTGTAGAAGCGCCCGGCGTAGCGGCGTCGCCGTAGCCGGGCGAGGACGGAGTCCGTCCGGAGCGACTCGCTCGGCAGCGAGTCGCGGAGCCAGGACGACGCGCCCCCCCGGAGACGTTGATCTCGGAGGTCGCGCCGTCGATGATGACGAGAACGTGCTGACGCGCTCGTCGTAGGAGAGCCCGGCGGAGCCGCAGTGGCGTAGCCGGGCGAGGACGGAGTCCGCCCGTAGCGACTCGCTCGGCGGCGAGTCGCAGAGGCAGGGCGACGCGCCCCCCCGGAGAAGTAGATCTCGAGGGTTTGTGCCGTCGACGATGACGAGCACGGTTGACGCGCTCGTTGTAGAAGCCCGGCGAGCGGCGTCGGCGTAGCCGGGCGAGGACGGAGTCCGTCCGGAGCGACTCGCTCGGCAGCGAGTCGCGGAGCGACGCGCCCCCCGGAGAAGTAGATCTCGAGGTTTGCGTCGTGACGAGCACGTACTTGTTGACGCGCTCGTTGTAGAAGCCCGGCGAGCGGCGTCGGCGTAGCCGGGCGAGGACGGAGTCCGTCCGGAGCGACTCGCTCGGCAGCGAGTCGCGGAGCGAGGACGACGCGCCCCCCGGAGAAGTAGATCTCGAGGGTTCGCGCCGTCGATGATGACGAGCACGTGTTGACGCGCTCGTTGTAGAAGCCCGGCGAGCGGCGTCGGCGTAGCCGGGCGAGGACGGAGTCCGTCCGGAGCGACTCGCTCGGCAGCGAGTCGCGGAGCGACGCGCCCCCCGGAGAAGTAGATCTCGGAGGTTTGCGTCGTGACGAGCACGTACGTGTTGACGCGCTCGTTGTAGAAGCCCGGCGAGCGGCGTCGGCGTAGCCGGGCGAGGACGGAGTCCGTCCGGAGCGACTCGCTCGGCAGCGAGTCGCGGAGCGACGCGCCCCCCGGAGAAGTAGATCTCGAGGTTTGCGTCGTGACGAGCACGTACGTGTTGACGCGCTCGTTGTAGAAGCCCGGCGAGCGGCGTCGGCGTAGCCGGGCGAGGACGGAGTCCGTCTGGAGCGACTCGCTCGGCGGCGAGTCGCGGAGGCAGGACGACGCGCCCCCCCGGAGAAGTAGCTCTCGGAGGTTTGCGTCGTGACGAGCACGTACGTGTTGACGCGCTGGATGTAGGAGCGCCCGGCGCCGCGGCGCTGGCGCGGCCGGGCACTGACGGAGTCCGTCCGGAGCGACTCGCTCGGCAGCGAGTCGCTCTTGGTGTTCGCGTGGTAGCAGGTGGAGCGAATTCGGTTCTGTTGCAAATTCGGTTCTGGTCGATGTCCGTGCACCGCGTGCTTCAGGAGACGGGCGCGGAGCGTGTTGTGCTGCCCCACAGTGTGGTAGGCGATGGAGTGCGCGCCCTTGAGGTGCATGAAGCGGCGTAGAGTGTGGCGCTGGTCGATGTTCGGAAAAGGATTCTGATCGTCGTTCGCGGTTTAGTAGGCGCCGATGTGGAAGGTGTTGGACCTCGAGGGCGCGTGGCGTCGCCGCACGGTGTGGTAGGCGACGGGCGTGCGCCTTGAGGTGCAAGAAGCGGCGCGGGGGCCGAACAAAATTTGTGTTCGGGCCTCGGCCGCAGCCGAGGTCGTGGGCCGTGAGGTGTGAATCAGGAGCGGCGCTTCGAGTAGCTGTGTACTCTCTGCGCGCCCTGTGTGCTGCAAGAGGGACCGCGTCGGTGTCTTGCGAGCGTGTGCAGGTGCGCAGCGACGGTAGTCGCGTGGGCCTAACCTGGAGTCGAGTGTCTTAGGGACAGGAGGGAACAGAGGAGAGGCGGAGCCTCTAGGTGTAGGTCTGAGGTGAGGTCAAGGTGAGGCCGATGGTGAAGCCAGTGGTGAAGCCCCTGGTGAGGGCAAGGTGAAGTAGGAGTACCAACTCCAGCGCGTCTGCGGCTCGCCGCGGGGCATGGGCCCGCGGCGCCGTCCGACGCGCCCCCTCCGGTCCGCGGCCCGCGGCGCCGTCTGCCGCGGGGCATGGGCCCGCGGCAGAAGGCGCCTCCGTCGGCGCGCCGCGGGGCATGGGCCCGCGGCGGCACCGTGCGGCCAGGCCGCGGATGAATCGAAGTCGCCGGTTAGGCGAAAGTGGTGTAGTTCGCGGGCGCGGCGATGCTCAGGCAAGTGACGTCCTCGAGGCCTTCGACGGAGACGGCCGCGGGATCGGCCGAGGTGATCCTGCCGGAGATCTCGTTCGCTTCGTCGACGTCCTCGACCTTGATGTCGTAGAGAACTTTCATGGTGGACACAAGGGGCACGTCCGCCTCGCGCTCGCACGAGTTGACGTAATCTTCTTCGAACTCCCCGATAATCGAGCACGAGTCGTCACCAGAACCGCCCTCAACAACACTCGGATTGTTTCCGTAGATGATGATGGCGTCGTCGCCGGAGCCTCCGTCGATCCACCGCGCATCGTCCCCGAAGATCGTGATGGTGTCGTCACCGTCGCCGCCATTTACTTCTTCGAAACCATCTCCCGTGAGCGTCAACACGTCGTCGCCGTCGCCGCCGTAGATGTAATCGATATCGCCTCCCGTGATCACGATCACGTCGTTGCCGTCGCCGCCGACGATTTGCGTGTAGTCAAGATCCAGGATGCCGTCGCCCGTGATGTGCAGGCAGTCGTCGTAGTCGGACAGCCTGATACGGTCAGCCGCCTCGCCCTCGTAGCACACGCAGTTGTCGGCCGCCGAGCTGTCCAGGAAAGTCGTGACGTCGCAGTCCGGGCAGCACGAGGCGCAGTCGCCGCCGTCGAGGAAGCACCGATCGACGACGTTGACGACGTTGTCGGTGAAGGAGAGCGCGACGAGGACGTTTCGTCCACGCCCGCGATCCCCGCGATCGTTGTATTGAAGGCGGGCTTGTTCGCGTTCGCGGTGTCGACGTCGACGCCGAGGAAGGACATCTGGCCCCGAAGGCCATCAACTTGGCAAGAGGAACGGAAATCTCTCTCTCTAGCGCATTAGGCGACGCACCCCGCCTACGCGCCTGCCTTGGGCGGACGCGGGCACTGGGGGGCCCACTAAAGCCGCACCGGGCCTCGGGGGGGAAATCTTCATGCCAGGGGATGCATTGGGACAAGGCGGTGGCGCCGGAGAATATGTTGGGCATGTCCGCCACCGACGACACGTCCCAGGCGCCGATGGCCTGGTCGAAAGCGGTGGCGCCGGAGAACGCGAAGTCCATGTCCGTCACCTTCGACGTGTCCCAGGCGCCGATGGGTTGGTCGAAGGCGGCGGCGTCGCGGAATGTGGCGTACATGTTCGTCACGCTCGACACGTCCCAGGCGCCGATGTCCTGGTTGAAGGCGGCGGCGTCGTTGAACGCGTAGTGCATGGTCGTCACGCTCGACACGTCCCAGGCGCTGATGTCCTGGTCGAAGGCGGTGGCGCCGGAGAATATGTTGGACATGGACGCCACGCTCGACACGTCCCAGGCGCCGATGTCCTGGTTGAAGGCGGCGGCTTGGTTGAACGCGTAGCTCATGTACGCCACCTTCGACGTGTTCCAGGCGCCGACGTCCTGGTTGAAGGCCACGGCGTAGTCGAACAACTCCTCCATGTCCTCCACCTTCGACGTGTCCCAGCCGCCGACGTCCGCGTCGAAGGTGGAGGCGCGGTAGAACGCGCCGCTCATGTCCGTCACCTGCGACACGTCCCAGGCGCCGATGGGTTGGTTGAAGGCGGCGGCGTCCTCGAACGCGCCGCCCATGTCCGTCACCTTCGACGTGTCCCAGCCGCCGATGTCCGCGTCGAAGGTGGAGGCGTCGTAGAACGCGCCGCCCATGTCCGTCACCTTCGACGTGTCCCAGCCGCCGATGTTCTCGTTGAAGGCGTTGGCGTTCCCGAACGCGCTCGCAATGGACGTCACGCTCGACGTGTCCCAGCCGCCGATGTTCTCGTTGAACGTTTCGTCATAGTAGAACAACCCTATCATGTCCGTGACGTTCGACGTGTCCCAGGCGGGCAGGCGGCCGTACTTGACCTTGGCGCTCGTCGCGTTCTCCTTCCAGGCGACGAGCATGGTCTCGAGCTCGATCTTGTCCGCGACAAAGTACATCGCATCGGTACCGTCGCACGCCAGGCCGGCGGGGCACGCGAGGCACGCGTTCGCGTCGACGTACTTGTCCGCGGCGCACTTGGTCGCGGTGGTGCCGTCGCACGTGTGGCCCGCGGGGCAGTCCGTGCACTCTCTGCCTTCCAGGTACTTCTCGGCGGCGCACGCGTCGACGAAGAGACCGTCGCACAGGAGTGCTTCGCACGTCTCCTTCGCCGCGGTCGCCTCCGCGAGCGCGGCCTCGGCGGCGGCGCTGGTCGCGGTCGCCTCCGCGAGCGCGGCGGCGTTACGCGGCGCTCCGCGGCGCGTCGGCCGCGCGGTTCTCAGACTACGGCGTCAACCCGCGATCTCGATCGGGGGACTCTCCCGACTGGTGTGGTGTTCCGACTGGTGTGGTGTTGGTTTATGCTGCGCCCGCGGGCACGCGGGCGAGGGGCGCCATGTGGTGCGCCTCGTCGACGTGGTATTCGAGCGTGCTGCAGCGGCCGCGCGCGAGGGCGGCCGCGCGCGTCGCCTCGTCGACCTGCGCCTCGAGCGAGCCGCAGCGGTGCCGCCGCCCCGTAGCCGGGACGCCCAGGCCCAGGCCCATGAGGCCGTCGCCGATCGCGAAGAGGCCGTCGGCCAGGAACTCGGTCGTCGCCCCGACCGCGGCCGTCGTCGTCTCGAGGGCGCCGCCGAGCGCCACGGCCTCCGGGCCGCCGCCGACCGCGGCCGTCGCGAGCGCGCCGCCGGGAGCCGGCGCCCGGAGGCTCCCGGGCGCGCGGCGGCCCGGCCGCTCCGTGCCGAGGGCGCCGTCGACGCGCTCGCCCAGCGCCGCCAGCGTGCCCGCCGTCGCCTCCGACAGCGTCGCGAGCGCCTCCGCGCCGCGCGGCGCCGGCGGCGCGACGGCGCGGCATTCCGACGCGAGGCGGTAGAGGTCGTCGTCCGACGGCGCGCGGCGCGCCGGGCGCGCGACGTCGTCGGGCCCGCAGAGGGACAGGAGCGCGTCGCGGCCCGGGGGCTCGCGCGCGCGCGCCGCGAGCACGCGGGACCCGGGCCGCGGGTCGGGCGCGTCGGGCGCCGCGAGGCCCGCGAGCCACGACGCGACGGCGCCGCGCGCGCGCGCGCCGAGGCCGTCGTAGGCGTCGAGGAGGCGCTCGACGTAGGCGGCGAGGTCCGCGCGGCGCTCCTCGATTTCGGCGGCCGCGAGCCCGCGGACGCGCGACGAGAGCCGGCGCGCCGGGGGCGGCGGCGCTCTCAGGCTCGCCTGCGGGTCCAGGCGCCGGAGCGCCTCCTCGACGGCGGCGAAGGCCTTGAAGCGCCGCGGCGCCGTCGCCAGCGACGCGCCGAGCGCGGGGAGGAAGAGAGAGAGCGCCTGGGCAGGACAAGAGAGATTCAACGTCGCTTCAACGTGAGTGTTCCGCGCGCGCGCGTTCTAGATAAAACATCCACGCTTCGAGACCGTTCCGAGAGATGATCGCTCGTCCAAAAATCAGCCGAAACGAGTGGAAAATGGCCGAGATATGAGCCTTTGAAGTTGGGAATTTCGCACCCTTTTGCTGCCCTGGCGAGCGCGTAGCGGTGGCGGCCGTCGGCGCCCGTCGCCGCGGCGACGGAGACGCGCGGCGCGCCGCTGCGGAGCGCCGCGGCGAGCCGGTCCGCGTCGAGGGCGTCGACGGGCAGCGCGAGGGCGCGGCCGGGGCCCCGGCGCAGGGGCTCGAGGCGCGCGAGGCCGCGGACCCACGCGGCGACGGCGCGCGCGCCCGCGGGGCTCGCGCCCGCGACGGCGTCCAGCGCGGCCTTGACCGTCGCCGAGACGTGGGCCTCGCGCGTCGGGACACCGCCCGCGTCGAGCGCGCGCAGCAGCGCGTCGGCGTCGCCCGTCGGCATGGGCGGCCGGGGCAGCGCCGCGAGCGCGCGCGCGGCCGCGACGGCCGGGCAGGCCGCGATGCACGGGTCCACGGCGGCGCGCCGCGCCAGGAAGTGGGCGACCCAGGCCGGCGCGGCGAAGCCCGCGCCGAGGCGCCGGCGCATGCGCGCGTCGGTCGCCGCGATCTCCGAGACGACGCGGCCGGCGATCGTCGCGCCGCGGACGTCGTACTCGCCGGGGAGCCGCGCCTCGAGCCGCGCGCTGCGCTCCTTCCAGCGGCGGATGCTATGGGTGCGCCCGTAGCTGCGCAGCGCCTTTGGCCCGACGAAGAGCACGGACGCGTGCAACAGGGACAGCTTGCCCCAGGCCTCCTCGGCCTCGTCCAGCGATGCGAACTCGGTGACGAGCAGGTCCGTCCGGTGCGCCGTGACGATCTCCGCGAGGGGCCAGGACGCGCAGCGCTGCACGTGGACCGCAGCCGCGCCGAGGCCCGAGCCGCATTGGAGTGCCATCGCTCTGATGTTTGGACGTCGCAGCCAATGACAACCTCTGGATAAGCGCCCCACAACCGCGCTATCTGTCGCTAGCTTCAACCTTACGGCGCCTTCGGCTTCTTCGCGAAGAAGTCGCGGATCGTCGGCGGGCTCTTGCGCTTGGGCGGCGGCGGCGGCTTGGGCTTGGCGCTGGGCTTGGCGCCGGGCTTGGCCGCGGAGAAGAACTGGGTGATGGTGCGCACCTTGGCGTGGGGCTGCGCGTCGCCGGCCGCGCGCGCGGCGCGCGGCGCGGCGTCCGCGGGCGCGGCGCCCAGGCACAGGGTCGCCGCGACGTGGTCGCTCCAGGTCGGCGGCGTGTAGCGGATGCCCGTGTGGGGCGCGTGGCTCGAGTGGTGCAGGTAGTCGGACGCGCGGCCGTCGCGGAGGCCGCCGCCGTCGAAGCCTGGGCAGCACAAGGGTGATTCAACGTCGCTTCAACGTGAGTGTTCCGCGCGCGCGCGTTCCGGGAAAAGCATCCATGCTTCGAGACCGTTCCGAGAGATGATCGCTCGTCCAAAAATCAGCCGAAACGAGTGGAAAACGGCCGAGCTAGGAGCCTTTGAAGTTGGGAATTTCGCACCCTTGTCCTGCCCTGGTCGAAGCCCGCGGGCGCCCAGCGGCCGTCGAGGACCGCGGCGCCGCGCGCCGCGCGCGCGGTGTTCGCATCCACGTCGCTGCGCAGGCCGGCGTCGAGCGCGCCGGCGACGGGCGCCGCCGCCTCGAAGAGGGCCCGGTCGACGAGGACGTAGTCGATGCGGCTGCCGACGTTCTCGTAGCGCTTGTTGTGGTACTGGTGCCAGCACGTGAAGCGCTCGCTGCGCTGCGGGTGGAGCGCGTCGAGGGAGTCGACCATGCCGTCGACGTCGCGGAGCCCGAGGAGCCAGGCCGTCGAGCTCGCGGGCAGCGCGCCCGGGGCCGTCGGCGCCGGCGGCGGCGGCGCGAGCGCGCCCAGGGCCCGCCTCATCGTCTCCCGGGGCACGTGCGCGCCGCCGAGCTTCTCCAGGGCCTCGAGGGCGCAGTCGACGTCGAGGACGTCCGGCGGGCGCACGGGGAAGCCGCCCGGGGGCGCGGGCCCTGCGACGACGTCGCCGTCGCCGTCGACGGCGAGCCCCTCCGTCTCGTAGTTGGCGAAGGCCGCGCTGCGCTGCGCTTCGTAGGGCGCGAGCTGGACCGGCGCGCCGCCGCCGGCGGGCACGGCGCGGCAGCGGAAGCGGTCGTGCTTCTCGCGCGTCGTCGGGTTCTCCGTCGTGACCGCGGCGACGTCGCGGCGCCGGAGCGACGCGCGGACGGCCGGCCAGGCCGCCGCCGCGGCCTCGAGGCTCGCCCGCTGGGCGTCGTCGAGGGCCGCCGCGGCCGCGGCGGCGGCGAGCCTGCCGCAGTCGACGGACCGGAAGGTCCAGTGCGAATCGTTGGGGCCCATCTTCGCGTTGAGGTCGCCGGCTAGAATCGCGGGCTTGCCCGTCGCGGCGCGCTCGCGGTCCATGGCGCTCCGGAGCGCCCGGAGCCAGGCCATCTTGTAGGCGACGCGGGCGCCGCCGCCCGCGTTCGGCACGTAGACGTTGAAGAGCACGAAGCCGCCGTGCTCCGTGACGAGGCACCGGCCCTCGTCGTCGAAGTCCGGGTCCCCGAGGGGCTTCGCGTCCGCGCGGAGGACGCCGAAGGCGCCCCCGCGCACGAGCGTCGCGACGCCGTTGAGCCCCGCGCGCTGGCCCCTGGCCTTGCCGTCGTTGCAGCACCAGTACGTCTCCCAGGACCCGTCGTCCGCGGCCGCGCCGAGGAGCCGCGCCTGCGCCTCGACGTCGCTCCGCTTGAGCTTGACCTCCTGGAGGCACACGACGTCCGCGCGGAGGCGCTCGAGCCAGCTCCGCAGCGCCGCCTGGTGCTCCTCCTCGGGGCTCCGGCCCTTCCTCGCCTTCGTCGTCCGAGTCATCTCCTCGAGCGTCGTCCGCCAGCCGGCGACGTTCCAGCTGATGAGGTGGAGCTGTTGTTGCATGTTACTTCTTGTCCTCCTTCGCGGCCTTGGCCTCCGCGGCGTCCTTGGCCAGGGAGTTCATTTGGAGCTCGCGGAGCGGCTCGAGCCATATGTAGAAGCCGCCGACGACGCCGGCGAAGGCGGAGATCACGTACATGTGCCAGTCGCCCGTGCGGCGGCGCAGGACCACGCCCTTGGCGGCGTTGCCGAACATCTTCTCTTTGGCGTGGGTCTTGTCGATGGCGCGCGGCAGGAGGCGAGATCCACGCAGGGCCGGCTTCTCTTGCGCGTCCTGATGTTGACATCAGCTTGCCGTCATCGATCCCTGCTGAGGCTAAAGTGGCGCCGGAACGGCCGACGATGGGCAGCCCATAAGTAGCCTCGCTCAGCCCGATGGAAGAGATCACGATCCTGCTCGAGGACCTCGCGCGCGACGCGCAGACGACGAAGCGCCGCGCCGCGGTGCTCGCGCGCCTCGAGGCCCTCGCCGGCGACGTCGAGGCGCTCGCGGCCGGCGAGCGCGCGCGGAGAGCTCGGGCGCTCGTCGTCGTCATCCTCGCGCGCGCCGCGCCGCGCCTCCGCGGCTGCGACGTCGTCGAGGCCGTCGGCGCCGGCCGCGCGGGCGAAGCGCTCGTCGACGCGCACGCGTTTCTCTCCCGCGACGAGAACCCCGTCGTCGAGCGCTGGGCCGCGGCGCTCCTCGACGCGACGCTGCCCGGCGCCTACGCCCAGCACATCGGCTTCGACGACGCGGCGCCCATGGCCGAGCGCGTCCGCGACTTCTCGGCGAAGGTCAACGCCGTCGCCGAGGGCCTGCTCCGCGAGGACCTGCTCCGCGACTTCTTCGCCGCGGCGCCGCCGCCCGGCGACGCGGCGACGGCGAGCCTGCTGGGCGTCCTCGCGAACGTCTTCGCCTTCGCGTCCAAGTTCCAGGCCAAGCTCCGCCAGAAGCTCGCGCGCGACGGCGACGTCGCGCGACACGTCGCGCTGCCCCTGCTCCGGCGCTGCTGCGCCGGCGCGGCGCGCGGCGCGGAGCCCGCGGCGCGGCGGCGCCACTGGGGCCGCCTGCTCCTGAGCCTGCGGCTCCTCGTCGTGGCCACCTTCAAGCTCAAGGCCGCGCGGAAGGCCGTCTGCGACGACGACCCGACGGCCGCGGTCCTCGCCGTCGTCGACGACGACGCGGCCGACGACGACGACCGGTTGTCGGGCGTCGGCGGCTGCCTCGCGCTCCTCGTGAAGCTCAACGTGAACGTCGAGGGCGGCTACGGGCCGGCGTGGCGCGCGACGGCCGAGCGCGCCGCGCGCGACCTCGCGGACCGCGTCGGCGGCCTCCGCGCGACGTCGCGCCACATGTTCCATCGGCACCTCCAGCTCCACGACGGCGTCCCCGTGAACCGGGGCTCGAGAGCCTGGACCATCGTCCACGGCGCCGTCAAGCGGCGCGACCGCAAGGGCGACGACGACCGCGACGGCAAGAGCGGCTCGCCGCCGCGGTCGTCGCTCGGCTCGCCGCCGCCGCGCGTCGGCCCGTCGACGCCCGCGGCGTCGCCCGTCGACTGGGAGTCGCAGCCCCGGAGCGACTCGCGGGAACTCGCGGGCGCGCTGTCCAAGGCGCTCCTCCGGGGCGACGCGGGCTCGCCGGCGTCGCCGCTCGAGCCGCCGTCGCCCGCGGCGCTCCGCGACGCGAAGCGGACCGCCTGGGCGCCGCGCGAGCCGGCGTCGCCCGCGTCGCCCGCGGCGCTCTCCGGCGCGAAGCGGGCGCCGACGTGGACGCCGCACCGCGTGCCGCCGCTGCGGTCCGGCGGCGCGCCCGTCTACCCGGCGCTCGCGCCCGCGGCGAAGCAGCCGCCGCCGCCCGACGACGACCTCTGCTGCGCGCTCACGGGCGCGCTCATGGACGAGCCCGTGCGCGTGCCCGACGCGGCGCGCGCCGTCGACAAGGCCGCGCTGCTGGACCACGTCGCCGAGTTCCGGCGCTGGCCCGTGACGGGCGCGGCCTTCGACGGCGGGGACGTGGACCTGCTGCCCGTCGACGAGGCCCTCGCGCGGCGCATCGCCCACTTCAAATTCGCGTCCCTCGTCGCGACGCACCCGATCCTCGCGCCGGAGCCGCGGCGCGCGACGACGCGCGCGTCCTAGGGAACTAAATGTCAGCTCCCCTTCGATCCTAGCGCCGCCCGGGCGGGTCGCCGGAGACGACCTTCATGACGAGGCCGACGACGACGCCGACGGAGACGAGGAAGAGCAGGAGCCGCGCGCGGACGCGCTGGCCCGGCGTCCGCTTGTCCATCGTCGCGAGCGCCGCGCAGAGCGGCAGCCCGAAGTCGACGACGGAGTTCAGAATCAGGCCGCTCCAGCTCAGCACGTTGACGATGCCGTGGCCGCGATAGACGAGCCAGCTCGCCGCCCAGGGCAGCGCGCCCGCGACGACCGTCGCCGCGGTGCGGCCGAAGCCGCCGGAGACCAAATTGTAGCGCATGAGCACGCTGAAGATGGGCACGCCCAGCCCGATGATGGCGAAGGCGAAGACGCCGCCGGCGACGCGCGTCAGCGTCGACGCCGCGCGGCCCGTGAGCGCGTCGAGGACGTTGTCCGGCGCGACCTCGTACGCTAAACCGCCGAGCCATCCGAAGACGACGTAGCCGACGCCCGTCGACAGGCAGGCGGCCCAGATCACGGGCGTCTCGTCGACGTGGTCCGCCTTCTCGTTGAGCCAGGACGGCACGGTCACGCAGAAGGCGAAGTTGAAGATGACGACGCCGAGCACGTCCCACGACTTCGGCCCCACGGCCGCGACCGCGCCGTCGCCCAGCGTGAACCAAAAGGACCCCAGGAAGATGGCGCAGAGCACGATGAGCAGGACGAAGGACAACTTCTGCGCGAGCATGTTCTCCCGCAGCGACACGAAGCCCAGCGGCGCGAGCGTCGCGGCCGAGAAGACGTAGCCCGCCGTCAACACGAGCGCCGACGGCGCGAGGCCGCGCTCGTCGTCGAAGGGCGTGCAGCCGTCCCGCAGGCAGCCCGTCCACTCCAGAAACAGGGGCCGCGACCCGTCGAGGGGCACGGCCAGCGCCACGGACCGCGAGAGCAGCACCGCGAACATACTGTCGGTCGCCTGCGCCTGAGGAGGACAAGGGTGCGGAATTCCCGGACATCTTTGGAGGCTCCTCTCTCGGTCACGTTCCACTCCTTTCGGCTCATTTTTGGACGGGCGATGATCTCTCGGAGCGCTCTCGAAGCGTGGATCCTTTCTCTGGAACACTCATGTTGAAGATGACCCATTTCCTGCCCCGGCCCGCGCCGTCGCGACGATCGCCGCGACGTTTTGGCTGAAGAGGTTGAGGAAGTAGAGCGCCTGCGTCGCGAGGAAGACACGGCGGCCGATAAGCTCGCCGAAGACGTCGCTGAACTCGAGCGCGCCCGAACCCCGGCGCAGCGACCGGTGCGCGTCCGCGAGGTAGACGGCGACGACGGCGGACACGGAGGCGACGACGCCGATGCAGAGCGCGCAGGGCACGGCGCCCGCCTCCTGGAAGGCTCGTGGGAAGTCCAGCATGCCCGGGCCCGAGATGTTGTTGACGACGAGGGCGTAGGACCCGAACCAGCCGATGAGGCCCAGGGGCAGCGGGCCCGCACCGGTCTCGAGGCGGTCGGCGCTCCCGCTGTGGCGCAGCGGCCGCCGCTCCTCGCGCGTCGCCTTGTGGTGCAGCTCCATCTCCGGCAGCCGCATACGGCGTGTTTTTTGCGCGGGTTGCTGTTTACGCGGCGGTCGTTTACATTAGCGGTGCAGGCAGCCCGAAGACGGACTTGCCATCGTCGTCGTCACGAGTCCAATTCTGCAGCAGCAACGTGCCATGCCGGCAGGTGCATCATTGACTTCGATCGTGGCCTTGGCCTCGCTCGCCGTCGGACAACAAACTAGTACGCCCGCGCGCCCGCGCGAGCCTCGACACCACCCGCCGACCCGCGCGCACGCATCATCCATGGTCTCGTTCCGCCGGAAGCGCCACCGCTGGCACGTGCGCTGGGCCTTCAAGGAGTGGGAGCGCTGGCGCCGCCACCAGGACGCCCTCGACGACCAGAGCAGCGACAGCGACGACGACGACGAGTTCTTCGTTCCCGCGGCCGGCGCCGCGGCCAACGGCGCGGCGCCGTCCTCCTCGTCGTCGTCCTCCTCCGATGACGACGACGACGTCGACGACGTGTCCGACTCGGGCTCCGACGGCTCGGTGCGCGTCTTCGTCTTCGAGGGCAACGCGAAGGCGCGCCACGTGTCGCCGTTCAGCCCGCTCGGCCGCGAGCGCGCCGCGAGCGCCGAGAGCGCGCAGGCGGCCAACGGCGCCGCGGCGGCGGACGACTCCGACGACTCCTCCGGCGACGGCGCCGCCGGCGCGACGCCGGCCGCGGCCGACTCCGACGACAGCGACGACGACTTCGCCGACGGCCCGGCCAAGAAGCCGGCGACGGCCGACTCGGACGACAGCGACGACGACTTCGCCGACGGCCCGGCCAAGAAGAAGCCCGCGAACGACGACGACAGCGACGACGACTTCGAGGACGCGCCGGAGCCGGCGAAGCCGGCGTCGCAGACGGCGCAGCTCCTCGGCGACTTCCCGGACAACATGGACGAGAGCGACGACGAGAGCGACGACGACGACTGGGAGGACGAGGACGGTCCCGAGCCGCCGGAGTCGACGTGGCTGCTGGACGTCGCGGCGCCCTTCGCGTCCGTCTTCGCGTCGCCCGCGCGCGCGAAGGTGTGCCTGGCCTACTCGGACTCGATGACGCGGCACCACGAGCGGTCGACGGACCACCCGGAGCGGCCCGAGCGCATCACGATGTCGCACGCGGAGCTCGGCGCCGCGGGGCTCCTCGACGCCTGCGCGACGCTGCCGAGCCGCCGCGCGACGCCCAAGGAGCTGCGGCGCGTCCACGAGTCGTCCTACGTCGCCGCGACCTTCGCGCTCAAGGCCAAGTGCGACGCCGCGCTCGAGTCCGGCGACGACGACGCGGTCGCGCGGCTCCGACAGGACGTCGCGGAGCTCGCGAACCGGCAGAACTCCGTCTACCTCAACGAGCACTCCGTGGACTGCGCCCTGCTCTCCGCGGGCGGCACGGTGGACGCGGTCATGGCCGTCGCGTCCGGCCGCTTCGACCACGGCTGCGCGCTCGTGCGGCCGCCGGGCCACCACGCGGAGTGCCACTGCATGATGGGCTTCTGCCTCTACAACAACGTCGCCGTCGCCGTCGCCGCGGCCCTCGAGGACGAGAAGCGGCCCTGCCGGCGCGTGCTCGTCGTCGACTGGGACGTGCACCACGGCAACGGCACGCAGAACATGTTCTTCGACGACCCGCGCGTGCTCTTCTGCTCCATCCACCGCTACGACCGGGGCACCTTCTACCCGCCGGGCGACGGCGGCGGGCCCCAGCAGGTCGGGTCCGGCAAGGGCGCGGGCTTCAACGTCAACGTCGGCTGGGACGGCGGCGGCGCGGGCGATTCGGACTACGCCGCGGCCTTCGATTCGCTCCTGCTGCCCCTCTTCCGCCTCTACCGGCCCGAGCTGATCGTCGTGTCCGCGGGCTTCGACTCGGCCCGCGGCGACCCCCTCGGCGGCTGCGACCTCACGCCGCGGGGCTACGCGCGGCTCCTCGACCGCCTCAAGGGCCTCCGGCCGAGCCGCGGCGTCGCGCTCTGCCTCGAGGGCGGCTACAACTGCCTCAGCGTCGCGCGGTCCTACTCGGCCTGCGTCGGCGGCCTCCAGGGCGCGACGCCGCCCGACGACTCGGACCTGAAGAAGCCGTCGCTCCGCGCGCTCAAGGCCGTCGCCGCGACGGCGAACCACCTCCTGCCCCACTGGCCCAAGCTCAAGAAGGCCGCCAAGATGTGCAACAAGGCCTACGCCAAGGCCCACAAGAAGCACCTGGCGAAGCGCGCGGAGGAGCCGCGGCCCCAGTTCGGCCGCGACCCGGACCGCGACCCGGGCTTCGGCTGGGCCTACTGAGTGAGCGCGGCGGCGTCGTAACGCGCCGCGTTACGAAGGCTAGGCCCGCTTGCCGTACTTGCGCTTGCGCATCTCGTTGAAGAGGTAGATGAGGCCCGCGGCGTAGACCTGCGTCAGGCCGCAGGCGAGCTGCGCGGGCTTGTTCGCGCCGGCGCAGGGGTCGTAGAAGTAGCAGGCGCCCGCGGAGACGATGCCGATGATGAACTGGAGCATCTGGCACGTCGTCAGCAGCTTCGCGAGCGGCGACTTGTAGCCGAGCGTCGCCGCCGCGTAGTACCTGAGGCGGCGCGGCGTTCCTCGAAGACGGAAACATCCCCGTCTCTCGCCGGCGTCGAAAGTCGCCCGCGCGGCCGCGCGACGAGTACATGAAAAAGTGGATCGTGCAGTTGAAGGTCACGGCGATGAGCATCCAGTTCGCCTCGGAGACGACGGCCGCATACATGCAGACGACGATGCCCGCGTGGTGGTACTTCTGGAGGAAGCTCGGCGCGTGCTTGCCGTCCGAGTTCTTGAGCACGAGGATCCAGCTGTCGACGAACTCGTAGTACTTGCTCACGTAGAAGATGACGGCGAAGGTGCCGAAGCCGTCGGCGCCGCGCCAGACGTCGCGGTCGCAGTGCATGCCGCGGAAGCCGCTCCGCGCGATGGCGGCGAAGAGGATCCGCCACGTGTAGAACGCGGACCAGCCGCTGTAGGCGGCGAGCGCGACGTTGTGCGCGAAGACGACGCCCTTGTGGACGCCGCCGGTGACGCCGCGCACGGCGTCGAAGAGCGGCTCGCTGACGACGAGGTAGAAGAGCACGCCGAGCGCGGGCACCTTCCAGTCGAGCCAGAAGGCGTAGGGCCCGGCGATGCGGCCCGCGAAGTCGTAGTCCAGGTCGTCGCCCAGGAGCGCCAGCGCGTCGCTGCTCGTCGGGAAGTTCGGCGGCGCGGAGAAGTCGAGCATGGTTTCTTTTCTATTGACGGTGCGCGGAGTCAGCGAGGTATTTTGCTAGCGTCTTTAGGGCCGTCGCGCACGAGAAAACAGGCGCACTTGGTTGGTCTTCCTGGCATATGATGATGACAAGAGCGCTCTCAGAGTTATCACAGGCCTCAACCATTGCCTCAATGAGAACATTTTCGGCGATTGCAGTGGCAGAAGCGGCATGGACCGCGTGTTGTCGGCCTCTGTCGCGTTGTGCGGCACCGCGCGTTTGGAGCACTCCAGCGAGTTGTCGGCCTCTGTCGCGCCGTCCGACGGCGACACTGCATGTGCAGACCACTCCAGCGAAGCCTCGACCGACGACGAAGGCGCCGCCAGCAATGGTGACACGGCCTTGCGCGCTGCACACCTTTACCCGCGCGACTTCACGGACCCGCTGCGCTTCACGCCGCAGAACATGCTCATGTACGAGCAGGGCCGCTACTCGCTCATCGAACGGGACCTCGCGCTCGTCCTCGCGCCGGCCGCGGCGGCGCGCGTCGAGGCCGCGGTCCGGGCGCCGCTCGCGCGCGCCTTCGACGCGCGGCGCGAGATCATCTCGCTGAAGAAGATCTGCCTGCGCCTCTTCAACGAGGGCCGCTTCCTCGAGCTCGCGCTCATGCGGCTCGGCGCCTTCTTCTTCGTCGACGACGAGGCGAGCGGCGTGTCCTACGAGGGCGGCAAGCGCGGCCGCTACCGGGACCACGCGTGGGTGTCGTCGCAGGCGGACTACCAGGAGGTGTCCAAGGCGCTCCACGACTGCCGCGGCACGCTGCTCGCGCTGCAGGACGCTCGGGACGTCACGAAATGGGCGTGCTGCCTCCCGCGGCACCCGGAGCTGCCGCGGCCGCCGCGGCTCCGGGCGCTGGCGACGTCCGGGAGCTTGGCGGCGAAGCTGCTCTGGCGGTCGCGGCGCGTCGACGAGGCGGTGCGGCCGCCGCCGGTCGACGAGGACGAGGACGACGCGCGGGGAAACGCGGTGCGCCTCGCGGGCCTCGACGAGATCGACGTCTCGCTGAAAGCCGTCGACGGCGTCACCGAGGAGGAGCGCGCCTTCGCGCGGGCCTCCGTCGTCTGCCGCGTCCTGTGGCCGTGACGATGTTCGAGAGATGTGGGGTGGGAGACCGTCACCGTCGCGCTCGGTAGGTCGTCTGCCGCGGCGGCGCCAAGGCCATGGCCATCTCGGCGCAGGTCGCCGAGTACGCCGCGTCGCTCGCGGCCGCGCCGGAAGACCTCGAGGCCGCGGCCGCGCGCCTCGAGGCGCTCCGCGGCGACCGCGAGCGCGAGGCGGCGGCGCTGAGCGTCGCCGAGGGCAGGTACGCGCTCCTGAGCCGCGCGCTCCAGTGCTCGAAGCACGTCGCGACGATGCGCGCGGCCGCGGCGGTCCTGCGCGGCGCGCGGCTCGCGTGCGGCGCGGCGCTCGAGGAGAGCGACGGGCGCGTCTTCGTCTGCGGCGACGCGGGCGCGGCGTCGCTGCCGCCGCGCTTCCGCGACCTCGCCGCGGGCGTCGCCGCCGCCGCGGCGGTCGTCGCGAAGTTCGACGCCAAGGTCGACGCGATCGTCGCGCGCGAGGGCTGGCCGCCCGACCCGGCGGTCTCGGGCCGCATCCGCGCCGCGCGCCTGCACCTCGACGGCGACGCGGCCTGCTGGAAGTGCGAGGGCACAACGTTCCAGCGCGCCTGGGCCCGCGACGGCGTCTGCTGGGGCTGCGAGCGGGAGGAACGGCGCGAGGGCCGGTGCCCGCGGGGCGAAAAGGGCTGCCCCGTGCGCCGCCACGGCCGCCGGGGCGCGGCCTCGGGCTTCTGCGCGCACGCGAGGCGCTGCGTCGGCTGCGACGCCCACTCCTGCGCGCAGTGCGCTCTCCTGCGGGGCGACGGCGACGACGTCGCGCGCGCGTACCGCGAGCTGAGAGGCGGCGCCGCGCCGCCGTGCCTGTTCCTCGACTTCGACCGGACGCTCTGCTCGACGCGGAGCGGCGCGGATCCCATGGCGCCGTCGGCGAAGGACTCGAAGAAGGCCGTGTCGTCCGACGAGGCCCTCGTCGAGCTCCTGGCCGAGGTGCCCGCGGGGTCGGCCTTCGTCGTGACGCGGAACGCGCGGCGCGAGGCCATCGAGGCCTACCTGAAGACGCTCCACCTCGACCACGTCGTCGTGCGCTCCGTGAAGCGCGAGCGCCTCGACAAGGCCGACGTGATCCGGGAGCTGCTGGTGGACGGGCGGCGGGGCGTCTTCGCGGACGACGACGTCCACGAGCTCCTGGACGCGCGCGTCCACGAGCTCGCCGTCGCGGGGAGCCTCGTGCGCGTTCTCTTCGCGCCGGGCGCGCTGAATTAACAGCTGCTGTGGGATGTGCCGATGTGCAAGGTTCAACATGCACTGCTCGCTCCGGGTGTGCAGTGGGCGATCAGAGGCCTCGCGTCTGGGCCACGAAGAGCAGCGTCCTTGCAACGACCATGGCGTCCAAGGCGATGCTGAAGAAGGCGGCGGAGATCGAGGCGCGCCTCGCCGCGCTCGACGGCCCCGAGTGGGACTCCGACGACGACGCGCCGGAGGCCGCGCCGGCGAGCCCGACGGCGGCGCCCGAGGCGCCGGCGCCCAAGCTGGGCCGCAAGGCGAAGAAGCGCGCGGCGGCGGAGCGGCGCGAGCGCGAGGAGAAGAGCCGCGTCATCTACATCGGCCACATCCCCGACGGCTTCTTCGAGGACCAGATGCGCGGCTTCTTCGGGCAGTTCGGCGAGGTCACGAACCTGCGGATCTCGCGGTCCAAGAAGACGGGCAACTCCAAGGGCTACGGCTTCGTCGAGTTCGCCGACGGCGACACGGCGGCCGTCGCCGCGGGCACCATGGACAAGTACCTCCTCTACGGCAAGCAGCTCGTCGTCCACGTCGCGCCGCTCGATCTCGCGCGGCACCCGAAGCTCTTCGCGCACAGCGACAAGCCCTTCCTCAAGCGCCGCGGCGGCAAGGAGCAGCGCGAGAAGAGCCTGGCGGCGGCCAAGGCCAAGACCGACGAGCAGCGCGCCGCGGGCGCCGCCGCGCTCCTCAAGAAGGAGGCGAAGAAGCGGAAGCGCCTCGCGGAGAACTTCCCGGGCTTCGACTTCCCGGGCTACGCGGGCGCCGCCCAGGGCGCGCGACGACCAGACGACGACGGCGCGCCGACGAAGAAGAAGAAGGCCGCGGACCCGGAGAAGAAGGCCGCGAAGAAGGCGAAGAAGGCGAAGAAGTAGGTGCGCGGGCGCGGCGTAGTACGTAGTGCTCTCTCTCGAGACGGGGACTCTCTCTGTGTGCTGTAGACAGGGGGCCCGCTACGGACAACGACGGTCCTGAGCAATCGAGCAACTTACTTCTAGACGGGATTTGTCTCGCGGAAGCTCTAGGGGAACTTGAAGCAAAAGCAGAAGGTGCTCTCGCTGTCGCGCGCCTTCGTCGAGGACCAGACCTTGTCCTCGGCCGCGATCACGGACACGTCGTCCGTCGGCGTGGGCGCCGCGACCTCGGCCGCCGCCGGCGCGGGCGTCTCGGTCGGCGTCGCCGCGGCCGCGGGCGCGACTATCGGCGTCGGCGACTTCGACTTCGGCGAGAAGACCTCGTGCATGCCCGTGAGCGACGCCGCCGCCTTCCGCGCGGACCGGAACGACTTGCGCCGCGAGCCCTTCATCTCAGAGTCCGAAAAGTCGCCCTGCTCGACGAATTGATTCCCCACCGGCGACAACGGCGTCTCCTCGTCGTCGCCGTCGTACGCCGCGAGTTTGGCTGGCGTCAGGAGCGCGTTTTTGTATGACTTCGATTCCTCGACCATGGTTTTCGGGCGTCGTGGCGCGCGGCGCGAGGCTTCGGCGAGTGGATGTGCTGTCCTCCGCTTTGTGGATTTTCATTTTAGGGCATGGCGCCTGCACGAGCCGTCTTCGTCCTGGCCTGCGCCGCGGCGCTCTCGGCGCGGCCGCGCCGTAAAACGAAGGTCGGCAGCCGCCGGCCTACACCTGGCGCGCCGCAGTTGAAGAAACCGCCGCCCTTCGACGCAGCCATGCTCTGCCAGGCGCAGACGGCCAACGAGGCGGCGGAATCTCTCCTTGTCCCCGAGCGCTGCCGCGGCGCGCCCTGCGAACAAAGCTGGTACGAGTTCGTCGCGCTCGACGACCTCTTCGCGGGGAGCGGCATCGGCGAGGCCTACGACGAGAGCGCGGCCTTCCGCGAAGCGCTGCGGCGCGCGGCGCGAGACGACCGCGTCGCCGAGGACTCGCCCGTGCGCTTCGACCTGGCCGCGTCGGCCCAGGGCTCCTGGCGCGGCGGCGCGAGCCCGGCGCTGTCCGCGGCGCTCCGCGACGCGCTCGGGGCCGGCGCGCCGTCGGGCGATGCCTTCCTCGAAGCCATCGGCGGCCTGGAGCTCGACGGCGTCGCGCCGGCGACGGGCCACTTCATCGAGATCGTCGGCGGGCCGGGCGCGACGAAGGTCGCCAGGCACGCGTGGCACCAGGACCGCGCGGGCGACGAGCGGGCGGTCACGGCGATGCTCGGCGTCCTGTGGCCGAGGCGATTTTCGAGAGATTTCGGGTAGGGGAAACAATGAAAAGTCGTTACATTTGGTAGGCGATGCTTGGCTTTCCCGCGTCGGACCGCTACGAGGGCTGCGGCGTCTTCAGCCACGTCGCGGCCCTGTCGCACCTCGTCGTCACGGACGAGGAGGAGACCATCTCGTCGCCCCGCGAGTTCTACCCCGCGGCCAGATACCTCGACGTCGACGACGTGCCCGAGGCGTCCATCGTCCGGCCGAGCTACGGCCGCGGCCGGGAGATCCTCCTCTACAGCGACGCGCGCAACATCCACACGTCGCCGGACATCGTCCACCGCGACTGCCTCTGGAGGTTCATGTAACACAGCCCGGGGGCTTAGTCTTTCCACACACACACGCGCGCGCGCGCCGTCGCTCACACGATCTCGAAGACCTCGCCGACGACGTCCGTCCACTTGGTCTCGGTCTCGCACTTGGACCAGAAGTCGCTGTTGAGGTAGGTCTCGACGTCCGCGACGCTCTCGAAGAGGTAGACGCCGCCGATGACGTCGCGCTTCCCCCACGTCGAGCAGACGACGTGCTTGCAGATGAGCCCGGGCTGCGCGCCGAAGGCCGCCCCGAAGGACTCGACGGCGTCCTGGGCGCTGATCATCTTCTGGAACGCCTTCTGCTTCATGCCGTCGAGCGTCCCGTTGATGACGAGCACGGCCTTGGCGTCCGCGACGCGGCGGCCCGAGACCTCGAGCGTCTTGTTCGTCACCGCGGCGCAGCACTCGAAGGTCCGCGCGGACGGCGACGCGACCTTGAAGTCCTTGGCGCTGTCGAAGCCGCAGACCATGCCGGTGGTCGCGCCCTGGCGCAGCTGGAGCACCGTGAGCTTGGGCGCGCTCACGTGCGTCTCGCGCAGCCGGAAGCCGTAGACCGCCGCCCGGGGCACGGGCGAGTGGACGCCGGGGCCGTTGGCGATGTAGATGAACGGCGCGAGCACGTTCTCGTCGCGGGGCGAGTTGCGGGCGGGGGCCATGGTGTACTCTGTTTTGGTTTTTACGTTCTGTCAAACCTCGGGACTGTGCTTTGCTTTGGCTGAGAGCGTGATGAGAAAAAGTTCGCGGCACGGAGAGCAGCAAACCGCGCCAGGCCGGCTAAAGCTTTTAAAGGTAAACATAACGAACTTGCAGGCGTTGATAAAGGACGCCAGCGGACCGGCGGTAGCGGCACAGCTCGAGCGCCGCCGCGGCCGCGCGCGCGGGCGGGGCGTGTCCTGACCAAAGCGCGGAACGATGAGACCACACAGAACAGCAGCCCTCCTCGCGGCCTGCCTGTTCACGGGCGGCCTCGGGCAGCCCGGCTTCATCAATTCGCCCTGCGCGAACTCCTGCAGCGGCCACGGGCTCTGCGACGTCTACCACGTCTGCAACTGCGCGGACACGTGGACGGGCGCGGACTGCAGCCGGCGCACGTGCCCCGTCGGCCGGGCCTGGGCCGACGAGGTCTCCGCGATCGCGGCGTCGGGCGTCGGCCACGGCGCCGCCGAGTGCAGCCGCAAGGGCCTCTGCGACCGCGACGCGACGCAGGCGCGCTGCGTCTGCCAGGCGGGCTTCGAGGGCGCGGCCTGCGAGCGGTCGTCCTGCGGCGACGCGTGCTACGGCCGCGGCGCGTGCGTGACCTTGGAGTATTACGCGTCGCGCGGGGACCCCGGCGCGGGCGAGGTCTACGACTACTCGGGCGCCTGGGACGCCAAGATGCTGCGGAGCTGCTCCTGCGCGGCGGGCTTCGCGGCCCACGACTGCTCCGTCTGGGACTGCCCCACGGGCGACGACCCGTTCACGCTGGAGGGAAACAACGAGGTCCAGCGGGTGACGTGCGAGGGCGACCGCGGCACCGTCGTCCTCGCCTTCCGGGGCGCGTCGACGAAGCCCATCCCCTGGGACGCGACGGCCAGCGACGTGCGCGCGGCGCTGCTGCAGCTGCCGACGCTGCGGACGTCCGCGGGCGACGAGGCGTACGTCGACGAGGCGGGCCTCCTGCCGGAGCCCCTGAACCGCCAGCTCTCGGGCGGCGCCATCTCCGTGGGCGTCGTCGGGTCCGTGGACGTCTTCTGCGGGCATCCGGCGGTCGTCACGGAGATCTCGTTCCTCCAGGACTTTGGGGACCTGCCGTCGCTCGTGCCCGACGTCCGCGACCTCGGCTACACGCTCTACCCGACCAAGGTCGGCAAGATCTCCGTCGCGGAGATGACCAAGGGCACGAAGGAGGACCGCGAGTGCAGCGGGCGGGGCCTCTGCGACACGCTCACGGGCCGCTGCGGCTGCGACCAGGACAAGTGGGGGTCGTCCGACGGCTACGGCGGCCGCGGCACGCGCGGCGACTGCGGCGTCGCCGTCGACCTGCCCATCGAGGACTGCCCGGGCGAGATCCCCTGCAACGGCCACGGCGTCTGCGACGACGTCGTCCCCGGCCCGGGCGTCGAGCCCACGTACGCGTGCGCGTGCCAGGAGGGCTGGACGGGCGCGGACCGGCGTCCTGCGGCCGTGACGACTTTCGAGAGATTTGGGGTGGGAACACAACGAGAAATCGTCACCGTCATGCTTGGTAGGCGCGGACTGCTCGCTCCTCGCGTGCCCCCGGGGGCGTTCCTGGTTCGGGCGGCCGACGGCGACGGACGAGGCCCACGTGACCGAGGTGGAGTGCTCCGACAAGGGCACGTGCCTCCGCGACGAGGGCACCTGCGAGTGCGCGCAGGGCTTCGCGGGCAGCGCGTGCGAGTACCTCGCGTGCCCGTCGGACGTGCTCCGGCCCTGCAACGGCCACGGCGAGTGCAAGACCATGGCCCAGCTCTTCGAGGCCGCGGGCCGCGCGCCCTACCGGAGCGACGTCAACGACCCCTACACCTGGGACGACGACATGGTCCGCGGCTGCCACTGCGACGACGGCTGGGCGGGCTACGACTGCAGTCTGCGCACGTGCCTCGCCGGCGACGACCCCCTGACGGCCTACGTCGTCGACGTCAAGGAGTGCAGCGGCCGCGGGCTCTGCGACTACGAGAAGGGCACCTGCGACTGCTTCGACCAGTTCGGCGCGTCCGACGGGAGCGGCGGCAAGGGCCCCCGGGAGGACTGCGGCTACGTCCTGCCCATCCTCCCGGGCGTCGCGTAAAAGCGTTTTTATACGGAGGCGCCGCGCTCGTCGCACGGAGGGGCGGCCCCCTACTGGAAGTTGGCGCCCGACACGAAGGGCGAGCTCGCCGTGTAGATCGGGTCCGACGGCGGCGCCGCGTCGACGCCGGGGATGAAGCTCGGCAGGCCCAGGCCGCCGTTGCCGTAGATGCCGAGGCTCTCGAGCCCCGCGCCGCCGTCCATGGTGATCGTCGTCTTCGGCAGCTTCGAGTTCTCCGCGAGCGGCGCGGCCTTGGCCGCCGCGGCCTTCTTCGCCGCGGCGGCCTTCTTCTCCGCGGCGGCCTTGAGCTTCGCGCGCTTCTCCTCGTCGCGCTGCTTCGCCTCCTCCCTGGCCTTCAATTTCTTCTCGCGCTCCGCGAGCTTCGCCGCGCGGACCTCGTCCGCCGCGGCCTTCTTCGCGCGCCGGTCGGCGTCGTCCCTCGCCGCGCACTCGTCGAAGAGCGTCCGCGACTCCGCGGCCGCGGCGGCCTCGCCGAGGTTCTCGAAGGCCTTGGCGCAGCGGTCGTGGGCCTTGGCGTAGGTCGGGTCCGTCTCCGCGGACGCCATGGCCCGCTTCAACGCCAGCGCGCTCTGGTTCTTCTTCGCGTCGCCTTCCGCCGCTTCGCACAGTTTCAGGTGGCAGAGCGCGGCGTTCGCGTGCGCCGCCGCCAGGGGCCGCGGCGGGTCGTCGGACCCGACGGCGCCAAACAGAGGCACGCGGTCCTCGGCGGCGTCGTCGGCGACCTTGACCGCGCGGTCGTAGGAAGCCACCGCGCCCGACCAGTCGCCCGCTTGGAACCGCGCGTTGCCCTGGTCCTTGGCCGCGGCGAAGGCCTTGCGGCGCGCGTCGCGCTTCTTCGCGTCCATGGTCTCGCCGAAGACGGGGCAGGGCTCGCCCTTCTCGAGGCAGGCGAGGAGCTGCTCGACCTGCGCCTGGTTCGTCGGCACGGAGAACTCGCCCGACGTCGGACTCGGCGCGTAGGCGAGCCACTTCCACGACACGCCCTCGCCGGCCTTCTGCACCAACGGGTGGGACTTCTGCGCGTCGCGCGGCGGCATCTTGACCTTGACGAGGCGGTAGGGCTGCGTCGAGAGGCAGTCGCCGCTGAGCTCGATCTTCGTGTGGAGCACGTCGCCGAGGTAGCAAAGCCCCAACGCGTTCCGCGCGGTGGACGCGAGCACGCAGCCGCGCGCGGCGAAGACGGCGACGTGGGCGCCGGGCTCCGCCTCGCCGTCGCCGCGCTTCCGCTTCGCCACGAGCGACGGCAGCAGCGCGCAGCGCGCGGCGTCGTAGCGGTCGCGCCACCCGCTGCTCCCGCAGCCCGACGCGTGGTGCTCCCAGCGCGCGACGAAGGCCGCGTCGTCCTTCTCGACGGCCAGGGTCCGCTTGCGCAGGTTGTCGACGGCGACGCGCAGGGCCGCCGTCCAGTCCTCGCAGCCGGCCCAGCCCGCGACGTCGCGGCTGAGCACGGGCGTCTCTAAGGACGGCGCGGCGCCGCCGGACGAGCCCGCGGGCGCGAAGTCGCAGACGACGACGACGCCGACGCCGCCGGGCAGGGCGGTCTCGAGCAGGTCGTCGCCGGGCTCGCCGTGGAGGCCGCAGAACGGCAGCCGGTTGCCGCCGGGTAGAGCTTTTTGCTTCGCGGCGATCTTCGCCAGCGGCCAGAGCTGCGGCAGGAGGCGGCCCCGGGCCTCGTCCCAGGCCGCGGGCACGTCGGCGGCGCCGCCGACGTAGGCGCGGCAGGCGCACTCGACGAGCGCGGCCCTGGCCGTGTCGTCGGCGGCGGACGCGTAGGCGGCGGCGAGGCGCTGCACCTCCTTGGGCGGCACGAGGCGCTGGGCGCCGGCCTTGGACGTGAAGACGACGCCGCCCTCGGAGCTCTCGACGCAGCCCTCGACGGGGTCCTTGCGGGCCAGCGCCGCGGTCACGGCGGCGAGGAACGGCGCAGCCATCGTGCTCGAATCCAGCGCGCGCCCACACCTCGCAACCGACGAGGCGTTGCGCCAAGCGTGATCGCGAGCCGGCGCCGGCCCGGGCGCGCTGTGGCAACTGCGTCCGACGCGCCCACGCGGTGGCACGCGCGCGCCGCTCCACGGACCAAAATTACGACCCGCGCAGGAGCCGGATCAATTCCTGCTCCATCTGGGTGATGGCGATGTCCTGGAGGGTCTGGAGCTCGTCCTTCTCCAACAGCACGGTCATCTTCGGCGGGGGCAGCGACGTGAGGTCGAGGCCGTACTCCGCCGCCACGGACTGCATCGAGCCGCGCTTCTGCGTCTCGGCCACGAAGGTCCGCACGGCGGTGCGCGGCCCCCGGTCGCCGCGCGACGTCACGGCCTCGACCAACAGCGGCTTGAGGTCGTAGGTCTCGTAGACGACCAACGCCATGACGTGCTTCTGGCGCTTCATGCGCAGGTGGTCCACGAGGAGCTGGGTCATCTTGCGCATGGGCACGGCCTCCTGGAAGCCCGCCGTCTTCCACTGCGTCGCGCACAGATTCACGTGCGCGTCGCACGACTTCGCGCGCTTCCGCCAGTGGCGCTGCGTGAAGGTCACGCAATAGCACAACTTCTTGCAGGCCATGCGGAAGCCGTTCTGCGCCTTGAGGAGCGTCGCGACGTAGAGCACGCAGTCGACCGCGCGGTCGAGGCCGTGCCTTTTGTTCGTCTTCCGGATGAAGCGGACCATGAGCAGCGTCGCGCGCATGACCCGCAGGTTGTCGCGCGTGCGCCGCTTCCGCTCGAGGATGCGGTGCATTTTTTCCGTCCAGGCCGCGGCCTTGACGGCCCGGAGGAAGTTCTTCGACCGGTTCGCGCCCTCGTAACGGGCCATGCGGCTCACCGTCCGCGCGAGCTCCTCGGCCCGGAGCCGGCGCACGTCCCGCAGCTCCCGCGTCTCCATGTGGAGCCGCGTCACGGCGCGCTCCTCGAGCACGTTGCGCGCGGCGATGGCCCGGCAGCGCCGCGCGAGCCGCGCC